CATGACAGAAATGTTAAAAGCAGGGGGGATATAGTGTTGGAGTGGTTGGTATTTTTGTTTAATAAATGTATGAAAGAGGGGAAGGTACCTAGGGATTGGCAGAGAACATGTATAGTCAGTTTATATAAAGGGAAGGGGGACAAAAGAGATTGTAAAAATTATAGAGGAATAAGTTTACTGAGTATACCAGGAAAAGTATACGGTAGGGTTATAATTGAAAGAATTAGAGGTAAGACAGAATGTAGGATTGCGAATGAGCAAGGAGGATTCAGAGTGCGTAGGGGATGTGTAGATCAAGTGTTTACATTGAGGCATATATGTGAACAGTATTTAGATAAAGGTAGGGAAGTTTTTATTGCATTTATGGATTTAGAAAAGGCATATGATAGAGTGGATAGGGAAGCGATGTGGCAGATGTTGCAAGTATATGGAATAGGTGGTAAGTTACTAAATGCTGTAAAGAGTTTTTATGAGGATAGTGAGGCTCAGGTTAGGGTGTGTAGAAGAGAGGAAGACTACTTCCCGGTAAAAGTAGGTCTTAGACAGGGATGTGTAATGTCACCATGGTTGTTTAATATATTTACAGATGGGGTTGTAAAAGAAGTAAATGCTAGGGTGTTCGGGAGAGGGGTGGGATTAAATTATGGGGAATCAAATACAAAATGGGAATTGACACAGTTGCTTTTTGCTGATGATACTGTGCTCATGGAAGATTCTAAAGAAAAATTGCAAAGGTTAGTGGATGAGTTTGGGAGTGTGTGTAAAGGTAGAAAGTTGAAAGTGAACATAGAAAAGAGTAAGGTGATGAGGGTATTAAATGACTTAAAGAAAAATTGGATATCAAATTGGGGAGGAGTATGGAAGAAGTGAATATTTTCAGATACTTGGGAGTTGACGTGTCGGCGAATGGATTTATGAAGGATGAGGTTAATCATAGTATTGATGAGGGAAAAAAGGTGAGTGGTGTCTTGAGGTATATGTGGAGACAAAAAACGTTATCTATGGAGGCAAAGAAGGGAATGTATGAAAGTACAGTAGTACCAACACTCTTATATGGGTGTGAAGCTTGGGTTGTGAATGCAGCAGCGAGGAGGCGGTTGGAGGCAGTGGAGATGTCCTGTCTAAGGGCAATGTGTGGTGTAAATATTATGCAGAAAATTCGGAGTGTGGAAATTAGGAGAAGGTGTGGAGTTAATAAAAGTATTAGTTAGAGGGCTGAAGAGGGGTTGTTGAGGTGGTTTGGTCATTTAGAGAGAATGGATCAAAGTAGAATGACATGGAGAGCGTATAAATCTGTAGGGGAAGGAAGGCGGGGTAGGGGTCGTCCTCGAAAAGGTTGGAGGGAGAGGGTAAAGGAGGTTTTGTGGGCGAGGGGCTTGGACTTCCAGCAAGCGTGCGTGAGCATGTTAGATAGGAGTGAATGGAGACTAATGGTATTTGGGACCTGACAATCTGTTTGGAGTGTAAGCAGGGTAATATTTAGTGAAGGGATTCAGGGAAACCGGTTATTTTTATATAGCCGGACTTGAGTCCTGGAAATGGGAAGTACAATGCCTGCACTCTAAATGAGGGGTTCAGGATATTAGCAGTTTGGAGGGATGTGTTTGTGTATCTTTATAGGTATATGATTCTAAGCTGTTGTGTTCTGAGCACCTCTGCAAAAACAGTGATTACATGTGAGTGAGGTGAAAGTGTTGAATGATTATGAAAGTATTTTCTTTTTGGGGATTTCCTTTCTTTTTTGGGTCACCCTGCCTCAGTGGGAGATGGCCGACTTGTTAAAAAAAAAAAAAAAAAAACTTCTGTTCTTACTTGGTGAAGGATAATATAAGTCAAAAGTTTTTCTGCTGTGTTTATTTTGCTCCCTTTACACCCAGGATAACAGGCCTTTGGATTTGTGGGTTGTAATAAGTGAAAACACAACTGCAAATCTGTCAATACAATTTTTATATTGCACCCATGATAGCTAGACACCTTCATATGGATGACTCAAGGCTTCTCTACTGTATCTGGATTATGAACCATTTGTCAGATCACATTAAAAATTGGAAACTCTCTCTGATGCGAGGCAATGGAGCAAATTTATTTACCTATATCTCCAGGTGCTCTATGAACTGTAAATTTTAGTGTAATAATAATAATAATGTGAGGAATTAATTATTCTAACTGGTTGATGTAAGCAAGAGGCTCAATAGTTAAGGTAACCAATTAGCTGCAAGTACATACTGTACAAAAATTAACTAAAATGAAACATTTATTAACAGAAAGAAAACATGAAGATACTATAAATAATTAGCTTCTTAAATCATGTTATTTTTTAAAGCTCAATAGCCTTTACTGTCTCCCACTGTTTTGTATGTGATAATTCCCAGAGGTAAAGAATTCATTTATTCCAAGGCCTTAACAAAATTGATGAATTTTGATGCATACCCAAAGTAATAATGCTCATCTGTTTGGCAGTGCATTATTACTTTGGGGTGAATGTTCAAAGTATTTCATACTATATCATATAGCCCATAACTTTCAAAAGCAAGGTCTACCTCACATTGAGGAGAATTGGCCATCAGCATACTAGTAAAAAAATCCAAAATTTAAAATACAATAACTGCAAACTGACGGGTTCCAACAATGTTATATGGTGTGAAGTATGGGTTGTAAACACTGCAGCAGGGAGGCTGAAGGCAAGAGAGATGTTGAATTTGAGGGCAATGTGTGGTGAATATTATGCACAGAATTTGGAGTATATAAAGTAGAAGAAAGTGTGGGGATACTAAAAGCATAATTCAGAAGGTCGAGGAGGGGCTCATGAAGTGATTTGGGCATTTATAGATGGAGGAAAACAGGATGACTAAAAGAGTATACATGTATAAAGCTGGGATGGAGAAGAGGGGTAGTGGTTATCCTACGAAGGGTTACATGGAGGGGTTAAAAGCGGTTTTGAATGCAAGGGGTTTGAATATCCAACAGGCTTGCTTGAGCATATTAGAGTGGAAGAAAGTGGTTTTACAACTCAAATGTGTTGCTGGAGTATCTGCAAAGTAACATTTATGAAAGGCTTCAGGAAAACCAGTTAGCCAGACTTAAGTCCTGGAGGTGGGAAGTGTTGTGTGTGCACTCAAAAGGCAGGGTAAGGATGGTACAATTCAGTGCCATCTGAACTGTGACGTCAGCACACTTCTGGCAAGACAGTGATGTAATGAATGATGGTGAATGTGCTTTGTCTTTATTTGGGTCACCCTACGTGGGTGAGACAACAAGTGTGTTTAAAAACAAAAAAGAAGTTGGAGAAGCATTATGGAATGTGTGATTCAGAAAAGTGAGAGAAAATGCTAATACACAATAGAAAAAAAAAATTCACATGAGACAGAATCTTATATCATATAATGGAGAACAAAGATTTAAATGGCAAGAACAATAAATTAAACTTCTAGGTACAGTAGAGCCCCACTTTATAGAGTTTCACCTTATGGCACTCCGCTAATACAGACATTTCAAATTATGACCAAAACTCGCTACACAGCTCCCCTCACCTGACTTTCTAATACAGCCACCGCGCCCCACTCGGTTTGTTTACATTCTCCGTGAGCTCCATGAGCACCAAGTCTCTCCATTATGTCTGGAAACTTCCAAAATTTCAAGTGTTTTAAAGTTATTTCATGTTTTATATATACATACTATGATAATAATACTTATATGTACCTGTACCTAAATAAAATTACACACTGTGCTGGCATGCAGATACACATTAAAATTGCTAAGAGTGTCTTATTAGTCTTGAGGATGCCATATTAATAATGTTAATAATAATGTGCAATAATAATAACTCTGAGGCATGTTAAATGTAGAATATTTACGTTAATATAAACATTTTCATTACTCCACCTATAATATTTTTTTTCAAAATCATATAATAAACATGCTACATAACATATAAACATGATAAATACACCCCATAAATTAACATTAATATGAGATGTTACGTACATGAACTGAAACCAAACGCACTCGTCTGCTTGTTTACGTAACTTCGCTTCTCTCTCCTCTCTCATTTATTCCCTCTCTCTCTCTCTCTCGTTTATCTGTTTTACCTCGTTTACCTCTCACCCTACATTAAGACTACATATATTTTAAGGTAAGTAATGAGTGTACTGTGTTTGTATTTTACTTTTTTATTGTTTTAAATGCCTCTAGTTCTACTGCTAAATTAATATGTTAGTGTAAACTTGTTATCTGGCATTTATATGCATTTACAAGTGAAAAAAATGGCATTCTGCTTTCCGGCGGTAGCCTGGAACCTAACCTGCCATATAAGTGGGGCCCTACTGTACTTTAATATCATGGAATGGATGTGCTGTAACTTAACCACCACCCTGTAAGGCCACATTTAAGCATTTTTTTTTTATGCTTTCTATAAAGACATGTGTCCATTCTCAGTCTGTGGGAAGAATTCAACAAGTATATATCACAAATAGATCTGGTTATGTACACCTACCATCCGACTTACGACCTGCTCGACATACAACCATTCGACTTACGACCGTGTTTCGTATGCCAAATTTCTGGGAAATAAACAACTGTTTGTGTTGTAAACAGTGTTTATCCTAAACCTTACAGTATAAAATACAATACTAACAGCATAAAAAGTAAAGTAAAAAGTGAAATACCAAAATAAAACAATAAAATAAAGCCATTACAAAAATGTGATGTTGATATTCAGTAGTAAGGTTCGACTTATATCCATTTCGACTTACGAATGGTTGGTAGGAACCAAACTCAGTCGTAAGTCAGATGGTACCTGTACAATGAAGCCATTGTTGTAAAAATCTCTCAAATATATAAGGAATAAGACCACACTATTGAACCTAATTGATTTTTCTATGAAGGTTTCAAACCAATGCTCTTTATGTAATTATCCTTGAACTTACTCAAAAAAGTATTGCTACTGTATACTTTTCAAATTGTACTTTATCATGTACATACTTACTACTGTACAAACTAACCTTTGAGTGCTCCGCCACTTCATGATGGCATCTCGTAGTGTTATCTCAAGTCTTTCTTTCAGCTGGTCAATTTGCTTTGTGTCCACATCAGGAAACATAAGTTGCTGGGGCTGAACACTTGGTAACCCTGGATCTGGCTGTGAACGAGAGAAGAAAGGTCGCCAACCAGATCCTTGAACATCAAAATGAACTCGAGGAGGATCATCATATTTCTGAACATTAGCCCATATCTGAAAAAATAATAAATTTTTTAATTTAATAATCTGCAAGTATTCAAGCATCATATATAAATTAGATAAATTACATTAAAAAACAAGCAGTAAAACCACATGTGGGTTTACTGCATTAGGTAAAAATCCAAATTTTAACTAATAAGAGCAAATACCATGCAACGATTGTTCGGTTATCTGCTCTAAAAAGGGATAGGGGAAATAGTTCAGACAATTAAAAATGTAGAAAGGATTAAACAAAATAGAATGACTTCAAGAGTGTATAAGTCTGTAGTGAAGGGAAGGCAGGGTAGGGGTCGGCCTAGAAAAGGTTGGAGGGAGGGGGTAAAGGAGGTTTTGTGTGCGAGGGGCTTGGATTTCCAGCAGGCGTGCATGAGCGTGTTAGATAGGAGCAAATGGAGACCAAGTGGTTTTTAGGACTTGACATGTTGTTGAAGTGTAAGCAAGATACGTATAGTGGAACCTCGGTTTTCATACATCCCGGTTTTCATAGGATTCGGTTTTTGACAACTTTTTCTGTCAGAGTTTTGTCCCAGTTTTCGTACATCACCTCGGTTTTCGTAGAGTTGACAATGAGCTGACAATGGTTTATACTGAATGCATCCACCCGCCCGCCCACATCACTCGGCCACTCAAGTGCCAAGTGACTCAATCTACCATTGTTTATCATTGGGTGAGCATCACTCCGTGCATTCAGCCGAAACATTTCATAATAATCCATTGTTTTTTGTGCTTGTTTATTGAGTGCAACTGCTAAATAAGCCACCATGGGGCCAAAGAAAGTTCCGAGTGTCAGCCCTTTGATAAAGAAGGCAAGAAACATGATAGAATTCAAAAAAGAAGTCATAGCTAAGTACAAAAGTGGCATATGGGTGGCAAATCTCGCCAGGATGTACAGGAAATCCAGGAAATCAGTGATTGAGTATCAAAATGGTATACAATACCGACAGGTTGATAGGTGAGACACATAGGCAACATTTAGTCAACTTTATTCCGAAACGTTTCGCCTAGACGGTAGGCTTCTTCAGTCGAGTACAGAAAGTAGGCAGGAGCAGTAGAGATGTGAAGACGATGTAATCAGTCCATCACCCTTGAAGTCGTAGATTTGAGGTTGCCAGTCCCTCAGCCTGGAGAATTTCTGTTCCAAAGTCTAGACTCTGGAACATAAGAAGCCTACTGTGTAGGCGAAACGTTTCGGAATAAAGTTTCCTAAATGTTGTCTATGTGTCTCACCTATCAAAATCAGTGATTAAGGACGTGTGCAAAGTGGAGTGAGTTGCATAGTTTTGTGGAGGAATATCACCCTAACAAAGCTGTTGCAAGCCATGTCTGCAACATGTTCAATGACAATGCCTCGTCCCATTTTAGGCAAATCTTAGAGATGCCAGAAACAGACCACTCTGGACAGATTTTTTGTCCAACAGAGGCACCGTGACTCTCAAGCTGGGCCTAGTGCCAGTAAAAGACAAAGAAGGGAAGTAACCCTGGATAGGGCCTTGATACCTGAAGTCCTTATGGAAGGGGATTTCCCTTCCAAAAATAACCTCTCCACCCTCTCCCCTCCTTGCTGTCTTCCATATGCCAACAAGAGTCTTCAATACAGGTAAAAGTGATGTTAAATGTTCATTTATCCATTTCATTAGTCATTTACAGTGGACCCCCGCATAACGATCACCTCCGAATGTGACCAATTATGTAAGTGTATTTATGTAAGTGCGTTTGTACGTGTATGTTTGGGGGTCTGAAATGGACTAATCTACTTCACAATATTCCTTATGGGAACAAATTCGGTCAGTAATGGCACCTGAACATACTTCTGGAGAGAAAAAATATCGTTAACCGGGGGGTCCACTGTATATTTATTTCTCATTATTTTCTGTATGTAAATGTATTTTTTGTTAATATTTTTGGGTGTCTGGAACAGATTAATTGGATTTAAATTATTTCTTATGGGAAATATTGCTTCAGTTTTCGTACAATTCGATTTTCGTCGGACTTTCTGAAACGAATTAATCATGAAAACCGAGGTTCCACTGTAACATTTATGAAAGGATTCAGGGAAACCAGCAGGCAGGACTTGAGTCCTGGAGATGGGAAGTACAGTGCTGGCACTCTGAAGGAGGGGTGTTAATGTTGCAGTTTTATAACTGTAGTGTAAGCATGCCTCTGGCAAGACAGTGATGGAGTGAATGATGATGAAAGTTTTCCTTTTTTAGGGCGACCCTGCCTTGGCAGGAAATGGCCAATGTGTTAATAAAAAATAAATATATGTAATTAAAAACTTTGAATTATGAGTAAGTTATTTCTTAACTAACTTGATAGTATAAACCACTATAATTACAGTATTCTGATACCGTATCGTATGTTGATATAATTAAAAAATTTTGACCAATGTCTACAACAGCATCAATATAAGCATAAAATGAACATGTACCAAATTTAATGCACTTGATAAACAAATATTAAGGAAAATAGTTCGTTAGTAAAGCCTGCAAAAAGAAATAAAAAATTTCCATATTTCATGATCAATTTCTACCCAAAAAATATGAATGCCGTACACCTCACCTGTACCAAATGTTCACACTATAGGGTATACTAAAAACAATAATAATAATAAAAAAAAAAGGGAGATTGAATAAAATTGTAACTAAACTCAACTCAACACTGTTGCACTGGTAACCTCTTGATGATTAAAATATTAAATTGGAATGTTTTTATGTGGACACTGCTCATAGCACACACACTTAAACAGAGCATTTTTATTAGAACATCATTAATTTTCATGTTCAAAAATTATAGTAAAGCAGTTTTGCCTGGGTTTACATGCAATGAAAGTTTTAAAAAAGTGGCTCAGACCTGAAAACTTCTGTTCAGAGATCTATATGGCCATGGGAAAGCTGGTTGCTGACACTGGATAAATATGGTATATGTTGTAATGGCTCTTTTAACTTCAACAAACTATTGCTCAGCAGTCACATAAACATTTCCAAACACTTCTTTATCAACAAGCAAGAGAACAAGGAATTCAGAGAAGGATAAATTCTTTGTTGTTTCTATTATAAAATGAGAAAATTTTGTAGGTAAATGTGCAATGGCATCATAAGAAATGAGCAGCATCATTTAATAAACACAGACCACCCATGGCCATCTATTGCACAGATAAACTATATAACCATCCCTAAACACTTCTACAACAACATGCAAAAGAACAAGGAATTTAAAGTATAATTCCTCCTTGTCACTATTATAAATACGAAAATTTTATATTAATTTGTCTCGTGTCAACTGATTCAATGTATGAGAGGCATCAGCTGATAAAACAAATGGCTCACAGCCAATTACTGCTTAGTACTCACATAAATATCTCTGAACACTTAAGATATGATAAAATACTTCCTTGTCACTATTATAAATGAGAAATTGTATAGCAAGTTGTGTGATGGTGCCATTTCATGAAACGTATGAGTCGAGTCAGATGATAAAACAAAGATGTCTCAGAGATCTACCACTCACTATTCACAAAATTCCTCCAACACTTATTTATCAGCAAAGGGAAAAACAAAGAATTTAAAATATAAAATTCTTCCTTGTCACTATTATAAACAAGAAAATTGTATATAAGCTGTGTGATGGTGTCATTTGATGAGATATACAAGTTGAGTCAGCTGATTAAACGGACGACCCACAACTATCTACTGTGCATTCAGCTACACAATCATTTCCAAACATCTCTACATCAACAAGCAAGAAAAACAAAGAATTTATGGTAGGGTAAAACTCTTTCTTGTTGCTTTTTTAAGAATACTGTGTGTAAAATTTGTAAGTCACTGGTGGCATATTAGTGCCATGCTAATTTTCTTAATAGGATGAGAGGGTATACTGCGTCAGACTAGCATCGAACACTAATTTCCTGTGGGCCTTTCAAGTAATTTTATTTACTAAGTTTTTATTTAGGATATGGTTTCAAAACATATTTCTAGATCAACAAGCAATGCCATCTGCAATATATTTTCTCAAAACCTTCATTATTTTTGATGCACTAAACCCATACATTATTCATATTTCATAGTGCAAAATTACGAAAAGCACCGATTTCGAGAATGTAACTCTCATGCTCTTTGAGGTTTGCCTTTACGTACTTCAATACATGTCCTACTATAAATTTTAATACAATCATATAAAAATTGTCTAGATGCAGCATAATTATACCTAACATTTAAAAGTAAATTAAACATAAGTGTTGAATGATGATGAAATTTTTTTCTTTCTTTTGGGTTTTTCTTTCTTTTTGGGTCACCCTGCCTCGGTGGGAAACAGCCGACGTGTTATAAAAAATAAATAAATACTATAGTTTATTAGTTTGCTCCTTAGACACATTAGTAACTTTGGAGTAACCTGTTGGATTACTCACCAAGGAGCACAGAATATACATTACAACTGAATAAACTTACATTGTCCTGATTAACAAGCATATAAACAGCACTGAGAGGACTGAAGGCATCTCTGGCACCAAAGCATTGAGCTGTTGAGGCATTCCATACCAGCCACATGTCATTATCTTCATGGGTCAGTACATAGCATGTCTCACCCTCAGGAATTCCACTCCCTGGCAAAGTATTTAAAAATGATCAGAAGAGATTGTCAGCTTGCATCTGAGATACAATTTTATATTAATAAGATGAGTGAGACTGTGTTACAGGAATAATATCTTCTGGTTCAACATTATAAAATATACATGTCCGCCTGGAGCATTGCAGACACTGCAAGGCTCCAGGCAGACATCAACCAAATCTTTCAGTGGGCTGCAGAAAACAATATGAAGTTCAACGATGAGAAATTTCAATTACTCAGATATGGTAAACACGAGGAAATTAAATCTTCATCAGAGTACAAAACAAATTCTGGCCACAAAATAGAGCGAAACACCAACGTCAAAGACCTGGGAGTGATCATGTCGGAGAATCTCATCTTCAAGGACCGTAACATTGTATCAATCGCATCTGCTAGAAAAATGACAGGATGGATAATGAGAACCTTCAAAACGAGGGATGCCAAGCCCATGATGACACTCTTTAGGTCACTTGTTCTATCTAGGCTGGAATATTGCTGCACACTAACAGCACCTTTCAAGGCAGGTGAAATTGCTGACCTAGAAAATGTACAGAGAACCTTCACGGCACGCATAACGGAGATAAAACACCTCAATTACTGGGAGCGCTTGAGGTTCCTGAACCTGTATTTCCTGGAACGCAGGCAGGAGAGATACATGATTATATACACCTGGAAAATCCTAGAGGGACTAGTACCGAACTTGCACACGAAAATCACTCACTACGAAAGCAAAAGACTTGGCAGACGATGCAACATCCCCCCAATGAAAAGCAGGGGTGTCACTAGCACGTTAAGAGACCATACAATAAGTGTCAGGGGCCCGAGACTGTTCAACTGCCTCCCAGCATACATAAGTGGGATTACCAACAGACCCTTGGCAGTCTTCAAGCTGGCACTGGACAAGCACCTAAAGTCGGTTCCTGACCAGCCGGGCTGTGGCTCATACGTTGGTTTGCGTGCAGCCAGCAGTAACAGCCTAGTTGATCAGGCTCTGATCCACCAGGAGGCCTGGTCACAGACCGGGCCGCGGGGGCGTTGACCCCCGGAACTCTCTCCAGGTAAACTCCAGGTAATAGCATTATTAAAGAAAATACTGTTGTATTTTCATAATTTTTAACAAAATATTACAATAAATTAAAAAAGTACACATTAAAATCTATAGTGTTTGAATGTGGATTAACAGAGCAAACTGTATACTATGTTAACCTATTAACTATGGCATAACTGGAAATTAACTTTCCTGTGTGGGAGACAAGATTTTGAAAATCAAAAAATCTTTTTTTACATATAAAAGAGTGCATTTTTAAGAATCAAATGAGTGGAATCAGAAAACTTACAATTTTATGGTGTGTTGAAACAGCATAAAACATGATCATTTATCAGCAAAAGCGTTGTAAATGCACCAGCGATATTTAAGTTTTACAATTTTTTTTTTTTAACACACAGGCTGTCTCTCACTGAAGCAGGGTGACCCAAAAGAAGAAACACTTTCACCATCACTGTCTTGCCAGAGGCATGGTGATAATAAGTTCAGATGCCCCTCCAAACTGCAAATATACCTAACATTCCTGCAGAGTGCAAGCACTGTACTTCCCACCTCCAGAACTCAAGTCTAGCTAATTGGTTTCCCTGAATCCCTTTGCAAAATGAAAGAGTTTGAACAGTGGAGAATGAGGGCCCTCACAATGAATTTTACCTTGCTCTCTTCAACAGATCATCAAGTCCAAAAAAAAACTTTGCCTCCACTCCTATTTATCATGCTCACACAAGCTTGCTGGATGTTCAAGCCCCTTTCACACAAAACTTCCTTTGCTCCCTCTCTTCAACCTTCTCTAGGGTAACCCTTCCCCTGCCTTCCCTCCACTACAGATTTATACACCCCAAAGTCATCCTATTTTGTTCCATCCTCTATAAATGTCCAAACCACCTCAACAAACCATCCTACATCTCCTAATCTTCAAACTATGAATTCTCTCCATAATATTTACACCACACATTGCCCTTAGACATGACACCTCCACTGCTTCCAGCCTCCTCTTCACTGCAACATTCACAATCCATGCTTCACACCTGTAACATTCTTTGTCTCCACAGATACCTCAATGCACCACCAACCTTCTTCCCCCCATCAATTCTATGGTTGACCTCATCTTTCATATACCCATCCCTCGACAAATCCACTCCCAAGTATCTGAACACATTCACTTCCTCCATACTCCCAATCAGTCATTACCTAAACTGTTTGTTATCTTCATCACCTTGTTCTTTCCTATGTACACTTTTAATTGCTTCTTTTACATACCCTTCCAAATTTGTTCACCAACCTTTGCAACTTTTGTTCAGAATCTCCATCAGCATAAATTAACTGAGATAACTCCTATTTGATTCTGCATATTTTAATCTCACATCTCTCCAACACATTAGCATTCACTGCTTTTACAACCCCATTTATATGTTAAACAACCATTATCATATCACGCATTTGCTTACTGGAAAATAATCTCCCTCTATCCTACATACCCTAATCTGAGATACATTATTATCATAAAAATTCTTAACTGCTTCAGCAATTTACCAGTTATTCCATATACTTGCAACATATGCGACTTTGCTTCCCTATCCACCCTATCACATGCCTTTTCTAAATTCAAATACTGTTCACTTATATGCTTCAATGTAAGCACTCATTCCACACATACCCTACCCTTCCTAAAGCCTCCTTGTTTATTTGCATTCTGCTCTCCATCTTACTCTTAATTCTTTTGATAATAATCTACCATAATCTTTACCAGGAATACTCGACAGGTTTTTCTTTTTTTTAACACATCGGCCATTTCCCACCAAGGCAGGGTGACCCAAAAAAGTAAGAAAAGCCCAAAAAGAAAGAAAAAACTTTCATCATTCAACACTTTCACCATCACTCATGCATAATCAATGTCTGTGCGGAGGCACTCAGATACGACAGCTTAGATGTCCCTCCAAACTGCCAATATCTCAAAACCCTCCTTTAAAGTGCAGGCTTATTCCCCTATAATTTTTACACGATCTTTCATTTCCCTTTCCTTTATACAAAGGAACTATACATACTCTCTGCCAATCCCTAGGTACCTTCCCCTCTTTCATACATTATTGAACAAAAGTACCAACTACAACAAAATTATATCCCCACCTGATTTTAACATTTCTGTCTTGATCCCATCAATCCAAGCTGCTTTACCCTCTTTTATTTTACCCACTGCCTCAGGCACCTTCACCACTCTCACATTTGGCTCTTCCTCACTCCTGAAGATAAGATTTTGTCTGGATTTTTAACCCCAAAGGGTTAGCCACCCAGGATAACCCAAGAAAGTAAGGGTGCCATCGAGGACTGTCTGTCTTATTTCCACTGGGGTCCTTAAATCTTACCCCCCAGGATGCAACCCACACCAGTCCACTAACACCTAGGTACCTACTTGCTTGCTAGGTGAATGGGACAGCAGGTGTAAGGAAACATGCTCAATGTTTTCACCCTTGCCAGGGATCGAACCACAGACACTCGGTGTGTGAGGCAAGAGTGCTACCTACTAGGCCATGGGACACCTACAAGAATGTTACTATAACATGAAATCACTGTCTCCCTTTCTTCATCAACATTTAACAGCTCCTCAAAATATTCCCGCCATCTTCCCAACACCAACTCCCCATCTAATAACTCTCCTCTTCTGTTACAATACTTCGTATCAAAAAGGAAATTCTCGGCACTGTACAGGTATTAAAAAAATGTCTTTCACAGACATTTTATTAATTAAATGTTAATATAATATCACATGTGGTAAGAAAGGCATAAAAGCCAGCATTAATGACTCACCTAAAAGAAGGAAAGCTGTTTTGCCAAGGTGAAGGAAGAAGTTTGTCAGCAAGACTGCATGCTCCTCTTCATCTCCAGTCAACATAGACAAAAATTGCTGAATAAAATATCATAGGTAAAATATCTTAATAAGAAAACTTTAATGTAAAGGGATTACATATTTTATTAATTTTTCCGATGACTGTGGAGCTGAAAAGTTAACAATTCAAAATAATAAAATAGTTTAAGCACTACAAGTATTGTACCAAATTTGTGCTGTTTGTTTTGTCTGGTTAATTTTACATTTGCCAAGAATTAAACCCCAACATAGTTTTTTTTTTTTTTTAACATGCTGGCCATCTCCCACCGAGGCAGGGTGGCTTGAAAAAGAAACACTTTCACCATCATTCACACTATCACTGTCTTGCCAGAGGCGCACAGATACGACACTTCAGATATCACTCCAAACACCAAATAATCCTAAACTCTTCCTTTAGAGTGCAGGCACTGTACTTTCCACCTCCAGGACTCAAGTCCAGCTAACTGGTTTCCCTGCACTTTTGTACGTAATCCCTTTGGTAATTTTAATGTTACTCTAATAAATCAGTACATAATGTATCAAAATATCATCTAAAGTTTGATCTCTAATTTAGGAGTTAATTGTGAAGAAAATAAAATATTATACATACTGTACTTGTATAGTGATGTATACTACTGTACCAGTATATACTGTACTATTATACTGAATCTCTCATAAAATATATAATCACTTCATCTTTTGAGAAAGTGTTTTCTGCTTGCACAATAACTTTTGAATAATAAAAATGCAAGAAATCATCATGTAAATGGCATGTCTGCAGATATCCTCAACTAAGACCTACCTCAGAATTGGCCCATATGTCACAAGCTCCTGGGAAAAGGGTCATATCTGCAAGGGCTGGTATCAGGGAGACATACCATGCCACACGATGTGCAGTTTCAACTAAGTTTTCATCTGTCGGGAAATGGAACTACTATAATGACAATGACTTCCAATATGAATGTACAGTGAAACGATACACAAATAACCCGCACATAAAAGAGAGAAGCTTGTGGCGACGTTTCGGTCTGACTTGGACCATTTACAAAGTGTGACTTTGCAAATGGTCCAAGTCGGACCGAAACGTCGTCTTAAGCTTCCCTCTTTTATGTGCAGGTTATTTGTGTATCGTTCCAGTCACGGTATTGTGCCTTTTTTTGTTATTTACAGTGGAACCCCAAGTTTTGGCCATAATTTGTTCCAGAAGGCTGTTTGAGTGCCATTACCAAACGAATTTGTTCCCATAAGGAATAATGTAAATTAGATTAGCCCGTTTCAGACCCCAAAAAATACATTTACAAAAGCACTTACAATAATACACTTACATAATTGTTTGAGTTGGGAGGTGGCCAAAACTCGGGGTACCACTGTACCAACATTTGGCTTGAACGTACAATTAAAAACACTCAAGTCGTGCACTCATAGTTTGTGTTTTCAATATTATGCCATTAAAATTTAGGTTTCATTTCCATTAGAAGTGTACCATTTCCATTAAGGCACGCCAGGCGGAATTCATTTCCACTGGTGGTGTTCATTTCCATTAAGGAGTGCTGCGACAAGCAGGAGACTCATCACTATTCATTGGGTAACTTCTTTGTTTTAGCAGTGCAGGGGAGGGTGAGTGGATGTAAACAGTCTCCTATGCAAGTCAGTGTATCTGGATGCATGCCAAGGGATTTTAGCTCTGTGTTCATCACTCAGTTTTTCCTTCTTTTTATCACCCCATCTTGTCTATCAATATTTATCATGGCATCCAACAAAGTGAATCAAGGAAGAAAATTAATCATGAAACTATACCTATTTTGAAAAAAATTATGAGGTAACTGAGATGCTGAAGAGTGATGCACATGTCATGGAGATGGCACGAGTGTTTGATGTTAGAGAATTAACAATTTGCTTAATTTGAGACAATAAGATTAATCCTTAATGTGATAGTAAAAAGAATGAGGAACAAGTCATTAGAGCTATATTAAACAAAAAGTTCATTAAATGAGTGGACTGCAAATAAACAAAAAAATGGTGTTCCACTTGATGGCCTTATTAGTAGGAAAAAAGCCTGATCACACTATATGACAGTGAAAAGACAGTCTTAAAGAAGTACACATTGAGTTCTGGATGATTTAATCAGTTTAAAATGAACAATGGCCTGTATAAAGACTTTAGCTGCAAGGTAAAATAAATCAGTGGTGTATGACAGAATACACTCCACTGTAACAATCAACTAATGAAGATGCATCAACATCCCAAGATCCCCAATCTTCAACATCACATCATCAGCCCTAACATCAACCTGGTCCCAGTAGGGTCAGTCACCCTATCCACTCACTTAGGGATGTTAAGCATCATCAGCCTGACTTGAAGGTAACAAATACTGTACAGTAGCTACATGTACTTTCTCCTTTTTGACTGTCTGACTTCACTAGAGTTCAGGTATTTCACAGAGCATATTCACCAATAAAATATTATTTTTTGAAGAATTATGATACCAATTTTGTTTTTTACATAACCCATGTGAGTTATCAATGTCCACCATACTAAATTTTCAATTACCATATGCTATATTTTCCCCACATCATTCTGCACGAATATTCTTACCAAAATTAAGCAGTAACTTAAAGATATGTATGAATCAGGATGGAAAATATTAATTTCAGCGACTAGAAAAAGTGAGAATTAATTATCATCAGTCAAACAGATACCTTTATAATACTGCAGTTTATTTCTAGCTGGTTCTGCCAGACATGCTTTGCATAATTATAGTTCACTTTAATTTACATAAACAAATGGAAAAAACATTACTGTGTACCTAAGGAAAATCAATTATATTTGTTAATAATTTATAATTTTCCATGGGTAAGTGGAACAGAATTCTTCCTCCGTAAGCCGTGCATGTCGTAAGAGGCGACTAAAATGCCGGGAGCAAGGGGCTAGTAACCCCTTCTCCTGTATGCATTACTAAAGTTATAGAGAGAAACTTTTGTTTTTCTTTTTGGGCCACCCTGCTTTGGTGGGATATGTCTGGTTTGTTGAAAGAAGAAGAATTTATAATCTCTGATACATTGTTTCCTTTGAAAATGTCCATTTCTTGAGAGGGCGGACTCATATAGTATTTTCTTCATACATTTGTCAAAAATTCTACACGATTTTTCAACTATTTTATAAGAATAACAGTTGTCACTTGTTTTAACTAAGAAACAAAATGTGTTGAATGAATAAGGACTCAAATATATGTACTAGTTACAGAGGCTCCCCACATCTGCGAGGGTTAGGGGATCAAGAACCTCACGAATCTCGGAAATTCGCGAATGTTTGGTGTGCAAATATGATGTAGGGAAATATAACAATACTGTACTGTAGCATTCGAGAATGTTTTGATGCACAAATATAGTGTAGGGAAATATAATAATAGCATTTACTTAGCCTAACAATACTGCTTCCTTAACCTATTGAACCACGAACAATCATAAAACACATGAAAACATCGTAAAACATTGTCCATGATTCGGCAGCTGGGCATTCGCGAATACTCAAAGCTCGTGAAAGTGGAGCTCGCGAAAGTGAAGGGCTAGCTGTATATAATGCAAGTATGATCATTTTAAATTAACATTCATCAACATCACTCCTACTATTCTCATACAGTGACCTCACACCTGGGATCAACACATCACTAAACTTGCCACACACATACTTCTAACAACAAAAGTTTGGCTTTCCCGTTCATATTCACTTCTTCCTGTTACCTACTCCCCTTTCATAAAAGCCTCATTCAACCCTTACGTGGTATGCTGTTCTCACATTTGCATATATAAGTCATAACCTTCCTTATGTCTGCATGTTAAAGTTTTGAGCCTTACTGCTCAAACTGCCATTTTCCTCCTCCTTCTCCTATTCTTCTACACCCATCATACAATTTACTTATTCTAATAATAATGTACTAACAAACACCTCTTTCAACTCTATTTTTCTTTTTAGAATTACAATGCCTGTCACCAACAGTAATAATAAGATAACACTTAATAATATCAATCTATTATCCTTGCAACTCATTACTAAAGGCTCCATTCCTGTACATGTCTTTTCTACATATAATCCGAACATTTCAAATTTGAGAGAGTGTTGCATACATAAATCAGCAGGGGCCTGTTAAGTTATACACAGCTGTTTAATCATCGACAGTCACCTTATCCTATCATTCTTCAGTAATAATGTTGTCCATCATTTTCAACATTAGTATTGCAAGTCAAATGAATGAAAAGAAAATTTTAACTTACCAATCAGTTCTTCTGGTGGCTTGAGTGGGCGGATGAACCGATTCAGACACACTAACTTTCCTGAGAGATCTAAGACATGAGTTCGAAAGTTGCGATTTGAATAACGAGATGACAGAGTAGCAACCCAGTCACTGCCTGCTGACAACACCTCCTCTGGCTCACTTGATTCAAATTGTGCCTTGAAAGTAAACAAATCAAATAATATATTTCTCTTAGGGTAGACAATAGCCTCATTTATTCTATTATAAAATCCACCCACAATCCTCCTAGAAACTATTGTACTATTTTAAATTATCCACTCATCCTCAATTTTAATTCAACTGTGCCACTCCTATGAACCTCTTCATTTTCCCTACAAGGTTGCTGTCATCCTTATTCACCGTCTTCTCTCAGCATACAGCCTTTTTAATGCATTCCATAATTTCCTTCATCATATGCTTCATCTCTCACCTTAAAATCCTATCATCAATTTGTTTTATGTTGCACCTATACTTTTGTATGTTAAAATCTTCATGCAATAATTATTTTTCAACCTTCCTACAACAATCAAAAATTTTTAAAAATAGTGTGATAAACAAATTAATTAAGATAAAACACCACAAACATACAGCAGTTCTGCTCCTGCAGCTTCAGTTAGGTAATTTCGAAGATAATTACACCTCTCTCCGTGGGGAAGTGGAAAAGAATTCTTCCTCCATAAGCCATGCACGTCATAAGAGGCAACTAAAATGCCAGGAGCAAGGGGCCAGTAATCCCTTCTCCTGTATATATTACTAAATTTAAAAGGAGTAACTTTCATTTTCCCTTTTGGGGCACCCTGCCTCAGTGGGATACAGCAGGTTTGTTGAAAGAAGAAGAATTACACTTCTAAGTCCTGTCCGTCTTTCTGTTTGTGTCCTCAATATCTGGAGTGGCACCAAAATTTCTATAATGGTTTTTTCCTCACTTAATGACCTACCAGTTTAAAGACCACTTGGACTTACGTCTAGCTCTCCAACCAGTGTACTGTATGTGTATTTTACTTTTTTTTTGTTTTTTAATGCCTAGTTCTATTTTGAATATACTAAAAATGTTATAAATGGTGCAAAGGTGACATTAAAACAATATCTAAAGATGGTTGACACAAACCCACTACCAGTATATTATGCTTGAAGTATCAGTAAGGGGCAGCTCCTCGCTTAATGACCAATTTGCTTACCAATCTACTCTTAGGAACGGAACTCAGTTGTTGAGTGAGGAGTACCTGTACTGGGAAGTTTAGAGGTGGCTATCTGGGTGGATGACGAAACTAGGGAACATTGTTTTAAAGCATCATCATTTTTATTATTTATATTTTGGGGCTTTGAGGAGGCTAAGGGAATTTTGGGGGGCCTGAAGCCTCCCCAAACTCTCCGTTGTTGCCGCCCCGTCTCAACATGAATGCATATCAACATGTGGGCCTTACAAAGAAGCACTATGACTGCTACACACTCTCTGATAAAAAAATGGTCTCACTTCTTTAGCCCTTTTCTTTGCAACCTGCCTTGGTGGGAGACGGCCGACTTGTTGAAAAAAAAAAAAAATATATATATATATAATTTCCTAATTAAATTTTGAACATTTGTAGAAGTGCCTATAATACAAATAATAAAATTAATAAATCAATCAGTTGAGAACTTTTACTGAAACAGGAAGAATTAAGTACTTTAACTAGGAGTCCCATAATAATATTACAAACACCTTTAGAGGCTCTGGAGGAGGCAGAGTAGGCTCCAGAGTGATGTAGATGGACAGGTGAGTAGCAGACCTGTTAGGTTCTCCTTTAGGTTTAGATATACCCAGGTTGACTGATGGGGGAGACTCTCTGCTGTATCCCAGAAGCACCACAGGTTCCTCCAAGGAAAAGGTTCCCTCAATCTGAAAAATAAATTATTATTAAAATTTGCAGATTACCACTTGTAATTTGAATAAAATACAGGTGTCCCTTGCTTTATGTGACAGATGCATTCCTGGGTGACGGTGCATAAAACAAACTCATTACCACACAACAATCCAGAGACTAGTTTTGAGACTTTGCAAATTTCACATTTCCTGATAAATTTTTTAACAAAAAATTATGAACATACTACTAAACAGTCATAAACAGTACTAAAAAGTAAATGCAATTGATCTAAAAGCAATTGAAATTAAATTAAATTTAAAATTCAATCATAATTGTCCTCCTTTTCACCTTCCTCCCCCCCTCATCAATCAACCAGCCTATGTCTGGAATAAAGTACACATGTTATGAGACTGTGAATACATATCTCCCTACTGCTCATTCCTCCCTCTTTCCCTCCACCCTTAGTTTCAATTTGTGTCACCACAAATAATGTATTATATGTAGTGCTTTCATAGTAATATTTTCTTTATCCCAATAATACAGTGAGCCACCAGCAGCAACAGCCTGGCTAACCAGGCAAACATCAGATGAGCTTGGCCCATAGCCGAGCTTTGGGAGTAGAAAGACTCTCGGAACTCACCAAAGCTAAAGGTATGTGACGGTGTCATTGTGCATTATTTTTGAAGTAGTTTACTAAGTAATAACCACAAAAAAAAGGTTATAATAACCTTCATAAATTTAAAATACATGTACAACAGGAAACCATACCTTAGCATTACAATATATTGTGGAGAAAGGAATTTTGAGGGAGCCTAGCCAACGCTTCTCTATGCGGTGATAAATTGTTGAGTCCCTCAAGCGATCATCTTCTAACAGATCATGAATAACCTCATCAAACAGATGAAGATAAACATTGTCTGTCACTGTCTGTAGACTGCTTGGTGAAAAGTTATCATTTGGAGCCCTGAAAATTTTTATTCTTAATAATTTTTATATAACTTTGCAACAATATTTGTAACATCTACTTTATAAACATTATAATTTATATTTATATAAGAGTCTATTATTGAATGACCTTCCTATATTATTCCCAATAAATTGTTTAACTAATTAATGTACCTAATTTTAATAACTGTAAACTTAAGACTTGCTTGAAACATTGCACATAATATGGACCTATCAAATCATTTTAAATTTTGGTACACACTGTAAGTTCCAAATTCATTTTGAAGCTAACATAATTAATCTCATTAACATTCCATTTCTTTACAGTAATTCAAATAATAACATCCATATTCAGTTTAAGCACTAAAACCATGTGTGTCATGCAGTACAGTAATTCAAAGTACCACACTTGATGCAATAAGAATAGTTGTTCAGTACAAGAAACTCTGTAATTAACTAATAGTGAGGGAGGGAGGAGGGTGTATGATACATGGTCACTTAGGCCCATACAAGACAAACTTCAGAGTCATTGGATTTGGTCTGATGCTTCAGAAGACATTATTATTTTATTATTATCACACTGGCCGATTCCCACCAAGGCAGGGTGGCCCGAAAAAGAAAAACTCCATCACTGTCTTGCCAGAAGGGTGCTTTACACTACAGTTTTTAAACTGCAACATTAACACCCCTCTTTCAGAGTGCAGGCACTGTACTTCACATCTCCAGGACTCAAGTCCGGCCTGCCGGTTTCCCTGAACCCCTTCATAAATGTTACTTTGCTCACGCTCCAACAGCATGTCAAGTATTAAAAACCATTTGTCTCCATTCACTCCTATCAAACACGCTCACGCATGCCTGCTGGAAGTCCAAGCCCCTCGCACACAAAACCTCCTTTACCCCCTCCCTCCAACCTTTCCTAGGCCGACCCCTACCCCGCCTTCCTTCCACTACAGACTGATACACTCTTGAAGTCACTCTGTTTCACTCCATTCTCTCTACATGTCCAAACCACCTCAACAACCCTTCCTCAGCCCTCTGGACAACAGTTTTGGTAATCCTGCACCTCCTCCTAACTTCCAAACTACGAATTCTCTGCATTATATTCACACCACACATTGCCCTCAGACATGACATCTCCACTGCCTCCAGCCTTCTCCTCACTGCAACATTCATCACCCATGCTTCACACCCATATAAGAGTGTTGGTAAAACTATACTCTCATACATTCCCCTCTTTGCCTCCAAGGACAAAGTTCTTTGTCTCCACAGACTCCTAAGTGCACTGCTCACCCTTTTCCCCTCATCAATTCTATGATTCACCTCATCTTTCATAGACCCATCCGCTGACACGTCCACTCCCAAATATCTGAATACATTCACCTCCTCCATACTCTCTCCCTCCAATCTGATATCCAATCTTTTATCACCTAATCTTTTTGTTATCCTCATAACCTTACTCTTTTCTGTATTCACTTTTAATTTTCTTCTTTTGCACACCCTACCAAATTCATCCACCAATCTCTGCAACTTCTCTTCAGAATCTCCCAAGAGCACAGTGTCATCAGCAAAGAGCAACCGTGACAACTCCCACTTTATGTGTGATTCTTTATCTTTTAACTCCACGCCTCTTGCCAATACCCTCGCATTTACTTCTCTTACAACCCCATCTATAAATATATTTAACAACCATGGTGACATCACACATCCTTGTCTAAGGCCTACTTTTACTGGGAAATAATTTCCCTCTTTCCTACATACTCTAACTTGAGCCTCACTATCCTCGTAAAAACTCTTCACTGCTTTCAGTAACCTACCTCCTACACCATACACCTGCAACATCTGCCACATTGCCCCCCTATCCACCCTGTCATACGCCTTTTCCAAATCCATAAATGCCACAAAGACCTCTTTAGCCTTATCTAAATACTGTTCACTTATATGTTTCACTGTAAGCACCTGGTCCACACACCCCCTACCTTTCCTAAAGCCTCCTTGTTCATCTGCTATCCTATTCTCCGTCTTACTCTTAATTCTTTCAATAATATCTCTACCATACACTCTCTTTTGTCCCCTTTGCCTTTATACAAAGGAACTATGTATGCTCTCTGCCAATCCCTAGGTACCTTACCCTCTTCCATACATTTATTTAATAATTGCACCAACCACTCCAAAACTATATCCCCACCTGTTTTTAACATTTCTATCTTTATCCCATCAATCCCGGCTGCCGTACCCCCTTTCATTTTACCTACTGCCTCACGAACTTCCCCCACACTCACAACTGGCTCTTCCTCACTCCTACAAGATGTTATTCCTCCTTGCCCTATCCTCCAGAAGACATCTGGACACTAAAATGAATCTAAAGATAGATCATTAATGGAATCTTTATTAAACTTGTAAACCGTTTTCTTCCTGTATACAGTTAACCACTCATTACATATAGATTTTTTTTATTAAAACATCAGCTGTTTCCTGTAGGTAGTAGGTTGGTAAACAGCAACTGCCCAGGGAGGTACTACCATCCTGCCAAGTGAGTGTAGGATTGCTGGTGTCTTTTTTCTGTCTCTTAAACATGCAAGATTTCAGGTACATCTTGCCACTTCTGCTTACACTTGGGTCACACTACACATACATGTACAAGCATATATATACACACCCCTCTGGGTTTTCTTCTATTTTCTTTCTAGTTCTTGTTCTTGTTTATTTCCTCTTATCTCCATGGGGAAGTGGAACAGAATTCTTCCTCCGTAAGCCATGCGTGTTGTAAGAGGTGACTAAAATGCTGGGAGCAAGGGCCTAGTAACCCCTTCTCCTGTACAAATTACTAAATTTAAAAAGAGAAACTTTTGTTTTTCTTTTTGGGCCACCCTGCCTTGGTGGGATACGGCCGGTTTGTTGAAAAAAAAAAATCAGCTGTTTCCCAATGAGACAAAGTAACATATGGAAATGTGTATCAATACCCATGTAAACTCTCTTAATATCTTTTGTGGAATGAAATGTTGCATACACTATTTTCAATTACTTTGTCTTTATAGAATACTATTACCCATATGTCATATTTTGTAACATTCCAGCTGTTTCCTCCTGAGACAGGGTATCTCGACAAAGAAGAAAGCACTTTCACTGTCAATCATTCAATCACACTCCTGCCAGAAGGGTACCGACATCATAGTTCAGATGATCATCCAAGCCACAACATCCCCGCCCCTCTTCAGAGTGTAGGCACTGTACTTTCCACCATGACTCAAGCCTGGCTGACCAGTTTCCTTGAATCTCTCCATAAATGTTACCCTGCTTACATTCCAACAACACATCAAATCATAAAATCTGCTTGCCTCCACTCACTCCTATCTAACATACTCACACAAGCTTGTTGGATGTCCAAACCCCAAGCACTCAAAACTTCCTTTACCACCCATCTCTCCAACCTCTCCTAAGCCAACCCCTACCCCTCCTTTCCTCCACCCCAGATTTATATGCCCTCCTTGTCCCAGGTCATGTCTCCCTAAAAAAAAAAAAATGGATGGAAGGTACAACACACTTCTGTGACATGTCACATCAGCCACTATCATCTGTGACACTATAGTCCTCTCCCACACCACCACAGCTCTAATACATCTAATTCTCTTACCCCTCAAAGCCATATAGTCTATGAGCCAAAGATAGCTAATGATGCCACCTTCACTCAGTGGTACCGCTTACCACAGAGAAACTCATTTCAGTTCTCCACCTTTAATTCTGGCTATTAAGTGTAAGTGATAGCCATTCACTAAGACTTACAGTGGGTTCAAAGAGTTAATCACAAAAAATGTAATTACATTCTGCTTACTGTTTCCTTCTGATAAGTCTCAAAATAAAAGTGGAATATTTGGTAAGTGGTGTTGCAACAGCACCCTGCTAACAGTATTTACTGATGTAACATAGTCCATTAACAATAACATGGGGTAAAGCAGGTGATGCTAGGGCTCTTAAGACCAAACAAATTATAAATTTATGTTAGATGAAACAAAAACACTCAAAATATATACTATACACAAATAACCCGCACATAAAAGAGAGAAGCTGACGACGACGTTTCGGTCCGACTTGGACCATTTACAAAGTCACACTGTGTGACTTTGTAAATGGTCCAAGTCGGACCGAAACGTCGTCGTGAGCTTCTCTCTTGTATGTGCGGGTTATTTGTGTATCGTTCCAGTCACGGTATTGTGCCTTTTTTTGTTATTTAAGATATATACTACACTACTTAGAGTAATGTCTCTTTCACAATCTCTTTACTCACTAAACCTAGACACTAAAGGAGTTGGAGTATACCTGGAGTATAGCTGGAGAGGGTTTTGGGGGTCAATTCCCCAGCAGCCAGGTCTGTGACCAGGCCTCACGGTGGATCAGGGACTGATTAACTAGCTGCTATTGTTGACTGTATGCAACCCAACGTATGAACCACAGCCAGGTTGGTCAGGTACTGACTTTAGGTGGCTGTCCAGTGCCTTCTTGAAGACAGCCAGGGGTCTATTGGTAATCCCCCTTATGTATGCTGGGATGCAGTTGAACAAAGTCTTGGGCCCCTCACACTTATTGTGTTGTCTCTTATCGTGTTAGTGGAGCCCCTGCTTTTCATTAGGGAGATGCTGCATCATCTGCCAAGTCTTTTGCTTTCATAGGAAGTGATTTTCATATGCAAGTTTGGTACTAATCCCTCTAGGATTTTCCAAGTGTATATAATCATGTATGTCTCCTGCCTGCTTTCTAGGGAGTACAGGCTGAGGAACTTCAAGAGTTCCCAGTAATTAAGGTGTTTTATCGCTGTTATGTGTGCCGTGAAGGTTCTCTGTACATTTTCTAGGTCAGCAATATCACCTGCCTTGAAAGGTGCTGTTAGTGTGCAGCAATATTCCAGCCTGGATAGAACAAGCGACCTGAAGAGTGTCGTCATGGGCTTGGCATCCTTATGTCCAGATTCAGTTTTCTACCACTTACAAGCAATTATTTTTTAGAGAAAGTATCTGTGAGCCTGCTTTATGAAAGAGATTATGTAACAATATATAAAGAAGTAATTAATTAACTTACTTAAATGGGAATGACAACTGCTGGTTCCAAGTGGGGTTGGGACCTTCAGCAACACTAGTGCGCAAAACTGACCTCTGAAATGTTGCTTCTACATAGGGACGAACTAAACTATTTCCTTGTATCACATCCACTGAATGACCTGAAATAAAGTCGTATCAAAATTCATGCCAGGAATAACCCACCAAATTACAACACCCACAAAATTTGTTTTCTAGTACACTGACCGTTTCTCACCAAAGCAAGGTGACCCAAAAATGAAAACACATTCACCATCACTCATTTCCTAGCTGTTTTTATTGTATCACCTATCAACAACTACAGTACAAGAACATAAAAAACATAAGCAGACCTTACCTTGCTGTACAGCATTACTGCGAGATGACTCACAACGTACAGGAACATGGAAGGCTCGAGCAACATGTACAATGAGTTGCACATTCTGGTCTCCTAAGGCCACACCACGTACTTGATGCCTCTTTTTTCTCTCTGGTTTCAGTGGTCGTCGTGCTTTGAACACTGACAGTAATGATGTCCCAAGGCTTCTACATGTATTAGAAAAACACTGAGTAGAATGTACAAAAAATTATATAAATTATGACACTTGCATACTTTACAACTGTAAGATCAAAGGTTGGGATAAGACAACAACAAAACACTTACTCTTACACTGTCACTCCCCGCAAAATGGTAGAGAATCTTTTACCAAAGGTAATGACACCAAGAATGCCAAATTTGATGGAAGGCTTAAAGAATTATGCAAGTGCAAAGTTGGCAGTGTGGGCAATTTACACATCAGTAATTTTGCCAATTCCCTTACTCAGTTCAACCCAATTTCAAACCACTTCACTAGTATGCCTTTTGTTCTACTGATTACACACAAGAAACTGCCCATTCAACTATCAGAACTACTCAGTAAAATGCACAGAGCTTGGTAATTTGGCCAAGTTTGCACAAAATTCAACAAATCCCAATTTAAAAACAGAGTCCAAAATAAGCCTTTCCTCTGCTCATTAATCATGTCTCCAGGCCCCACCTATACAACATTTTTCCCTCCATTTTCAATCCAGGACCACACAAAAAAATCAAATTTTTACCCTATTTCTAAGAGTAATAAAATACAACCTAGAATGATTGGTCATGGTTTAGGCTGTCCCAATTATTGAAGCAGACCTAGTAAAAGCCCATAAAATAAACCTAGGAATGAGGGGTAGGGGGCTCTATCCTATCCTTCCTCCGGAAAATCGCCAAAAATCTAATATCCCTGCTTCCAGTCTGACATCAACAAAAATTATCTCTATTTCTCAAGCATGACTTTCATTCTATTAATTGATACAAAGAAACTGCCAATAAAGCCATAACTAACCTAGAAAACACCTCAAAGTCTATGCGGTAAACCCAACAAAATCAGAGGTTTGCTTTTCCCCATCATGGACAGAGTGGAGCAGAATGTTTTTTATACTGTGCATACCCACCACACAGACCCATTCTCTCATATCTGGGCCAACATTTATCACTCACATCATATTTGAGGATGAAATGTTTTAAACATAGATCTTTGTGAGTGACACTGGCATTAACCCTTTGGGGGTCGACAGGTCCTCTCAGACTTGTTCTCAGGGTCGGCCAAATTTCAAAAAAAAAAAAAAAAAAATTTCTTATGAAAAGATAGAGAATCTTTTCCCGATCATAATGACACCAAAAGTATAAAATTTGATAGAAAACTTAAGGAATTATGCTCTCGTGAAGTTAGCAGTCTTGACGATGTTTACGCATCGGTGATTTTGCCCACTTTGAGCCCTATTTTCGGCCAATTTCAGTGTACTAGTCGACAAAAATCATAACTATTTCGCTAGAACTCCATTTTTTCTATTGAATGAGCACAAGAAACCACCCATTTACCGATTTCAACTATCCAATAAAGTGGTCAGAATTTAGCAATTTTGCCAATTTCACACAAATTTTAAAAAGATGCCAATTTCCGAATAGGGTCCAGAATAAACAAGAAAGACATTCCTGGCACTAAAATAACAAGTTCTCTGTTTGTCAGTCACATCCCCAGGCCCCTCTTATATTTCTTTGGCTTTCCGCTTTGAATTTTTATTCTTACAAAAAAAATAAAGATTTACTGTTATGCAGACTACTGCATTAGTGTAGAAATGGTATAAATAATATCAGCGCACGTGTGAAAGAATATTAGACTCACCAGGTGATGTGTATTAGATGCTTGGCATGATTTGTTTACTTTTGAACTCTGGTAAAAATCGAACATTTCTGCTATTTTGAGCTCAATTTCAAGGTACTTTTCATTGTAAAACCAGTCAAAATCATCTCAATTTCTGTAATATGTCTTCCATTCTATAAAATGAGACCAAGGAAACTAGAATACAACAATAAATACCATATGAAAATACAGTGCAAAGTCGCTGTTTTAATCCAAAAACACGGTCAAAGTTTTTTTTTTCTCATTACGCACTGTGTGCTGCAGGATTTTTTTTATACTGCGCACACTGACCACATAGACCCATTCTTTCATATGTAGGCCTACCAGCTTTCTCTCACTAGATTTGAGGGCGCTAGAATTTAGGCATACTTGTACAGTGGTCCCTCGATAATCATAGTTCTCGAGAATCGTAGATTTCAGAAATCATAGGGATATTTTCGTATAAACATGGGCTCACTAATCGTAGATTGACTCGCAAATAGTAGTTCGTCCGGGACAGGTACACACAGCCCCAAGCTGCCTCACACTCCTTTCCCAGCCAGTGTGCTGTTGTTTATCAGTGAGTGAGGATGATCCCACGAGTTCATACGATACATTTCATAATATTCCATTCGTTTTAGTGTTTGCAACTGCTAAATAAGTCACCATGGCTCCAAAGAAATCTTCTAGTGCCAGCCATTTGGTAAAGAATGTGAGAAACACATATAGTAGGTAAGTACTGGTTTTCTAACAGAGTGGGGTGATAGAGGCTAGGACCTTGGGTTGCCTAACTGTTGCCTATGTGTCTTACCTACCAACCTGTCAGTATTGTATACCATTTTGATGTTCAGCTTTAAGAAGAGACTGGACAAATATATGAGTGGGAGGGGCTGGGTTTGATTGGTGTCATTGGGTACAGGAGTTATTTCTTGGGTAGCTTTGGGTAGAGGTCGTTTTGATAAGGACTTGCCTTGCATGGGCCAGTAGGCCTTCTGCAGTGTTCCTCCACTCTTATGTTCTTAATTTAAGAAAAAGTTTGTAGAAAAATATGAAGGTGGTGGTGGTAGAGTGGAAGCAGTTGTGATAGTGGTTGATGGTGGTAGTGATGGTTGTAGCAGTTGTAATAGTGGTAATAGTTGTAATAGTAGTTGTAATACTGGTTCTTATGTTATTGAGGCTAGGACTTTGGGTAGTTTCAAATTTATATGAGTGAGAGGGGTTGGATTTGAGTGGGACTTGCAGATGAGTGGATAGTTATTAAAGCTTATTTCTTGGGTAGCATTGAAAATTGGGTTGGGCAAATGTTTTGTTAGTGGGATGGATTGTAAAGGACCTGCCTAGTATGGGCCAACTGGCCTGCTGCAGTGTTCCTCCTTTCTTATGTTCTCTGATATGCAAGTCCCACTCAAATCCAACCCCTCTCACTCATGTATTTATCCAACCTATCCTCCTTATGGAGGGGGATTCCCCTTCCAAACAATAACCTCTCTTCCCTCTCTCCTCCTCCCTGTCTTCCATTCATCAACAACAGCCTTCAATAAAGGTAACTGTCATGTTGAATGTTCATTCTTTTGTGCATGTAAATCTATCTTTAAGGTAAAAAAAAATTGTTGTTGATACTTCTGGGTGTCAGGAACGGATTAATCGTATTTACATTATTTCTTATGGGGAAAATTGATTCGAAAATCGTAGATTTCGATAATAGTAGCACCTCCAGGAACGGATTAATTATGAAAAACGAGGGACCACTGTACGTCAAAAACCCTGGGTCGTATGACGTACTAGTACATCCGAAACCCCCAAAGGGTTAATAGTGCAGATCTATGTGAGAGACATTGAAAGGGTTAAGAACCATTGCATCCAACTAGGAGGCAAAGGTTACTTATGAGTCATCAAGCTCCAAGGTGGCACAGCACTTACACAAAATGATATTGTGACCATTTATAGGCATTTTAAATTATACTGAATTAGTTAGGCTAATAGACAAATGAGAATCCATACAAAAAAAAAAAAAATAAAAAATCACTATAAATATTCTTCAGTAATTCTTATGTGATATTCAAACAAAAGAAGAGAGGAACTGCAGTAGGTCAACTGGCCAAGTCTAGGCAGGTCCTACTCACACTTAACCATTCTCCTTCATGTTACTCTAACTTATTTCTAAAGCTAACCAGTAACAGTGTACTGTACCCTATGTCGGGTATGCTCTCCTCTCGCACTAGATCCTCCAGTTTTGGTGCAGAGCTTGCTTGAGCATAGCGCTGCAGCATGTGTCGACGCAGTGATGCCAGCAGCTTCTCCACTCGCTCCCACCGCTCATCTAACTCCCACAAGTAATGGCTTTTTGATTCTTTGACTTCTCCTGTTTCAGTTCCCACTGCCATTTTATTTTCATATTTCTAGAAAAAAAAAAAGAGTATATTAGTCTCAGGTGAGACTATGTATATCTTTTATATTACATTTAGTTTGGGAGTTTAGGAAGTTTGAGATATAGGAGAGTACAATAGTATAAATTGTATTATATTCATATTCGAATTCATGAAGACATGCTAAACCCATAAGGGTCATACATCACTTGGGAGATAATCAGGCTTGACTCCATTCCCTGGACCAAGAGCCTTTACCAGAATCAAGGAAACCCCTTTGAAGAGGGTTAAGGAAAAAAAGAGTTCATAATTAACTCTAATTGTAATTTTAGTATTACTGACTGCTTAATGAAAGGTCAGAAGTAATAAAGCCTTATTCTGAAAAGAGAAGATTTACAAATATGCAAATAAAAAAATGGCAAAGAAGCTATTAAAAGGTAAATCTGAGCAAGATGATCTGAAAAGTTAAAGAAGGTATAAAGTGTAACTACTGATGGAACACAAGTGCATGAGTAATATTCAGATAAGGGAACCTGTGAGAATGCAAAAATGCAAGGGACCAAATTAGTTTAATAAGCAGAAATTTAAAATTGTTAAGCACTAATGCACAACAGAAATTTTGATTCATTTGTTCACACATACTGTATTAGGAAAAAATTCCTGGGGAACTTAAAAAAAATCTGTTAAGATATATATTTAAGTGAATGGTGCAAGATCATAGATAATATAAAGAAAGATCTGATCCAAAGGAATGAGAGGATATCTTGAATTCCTTTGATCAAAACCCCTATACCTCCCATCAAGACACCCATCCATCCTCAAAATTGAGGGAGAGAAAAGTGTTAATAATGTAACAATCTTCTAGCAAGTCTAGGATGAAAGAGGAACAGTTTTAATTCTAAACATTGAAATACATTTAACAACATCTATATTTCTTCTTTCTTTCAACACACTGGCCGTATCCCACCGAGGCAGGGTGGCCCAAAAGGAAAAACAAAAGTTTCTCCTTTTACATTTAGTAATATATACATCTATATTTATACTCCTTATAAATTTTAAAGAGCAGACTACCTGACTCACTTCTAAAGTCTTACGCAGGACTTCTGATTCAATGGCAGGAACAAGCTTAAGGCGCCTAAATTCAGGCACATCTTCAGCTCGTAGCTGAAGGACCCGTAGCCGTACGCTGGCATCTAGATCAGCTTCTGTGCAAAAGTCTCCCTCATAGCTATCAATCTCAAAGTAAGTGGTTGGTTTTGACTTGCCAGAAGCAGCTTTCTGCAGAAATAAAAAATAATACTTTCCTTTTTTCCTGGAAAACCAATATGTAAACAGTATTATAACAATATTATTTGCATCTGAGTACATTTAATATTCATTATTGTGAATGTCTATATCAGACTTAACTATCAGACTCAATGGTAATATTCAATATTTAATACAAATTTTGCCATATATTACATTAATTACAAGTTTTTGTGTACTGTCCTAGGTATATAATGTGTCATCTCTAAAGAGCATTCTGAAGAGATCTTTCTTGTAAACTCTAGGTTTCTTCCACTAAGATAGGGTGACTCAACAGAGAAAAAATGCCTTTAAGGTTACTCATTCAATCATTGTCTTGCCAGAAGCACACTGACATTACAGTTCAGATAATTCTCCAAACTGCAACAACCCCATCCCTCCTTCAGAGTGCAGGCACTATACTAAGTATACTTCCTACCTCCAGAACTTAAGTCTGGCTAACCAGATTCCCTGAATCCCTTCATAAATGTTACCTTGCTCACACAGCACATCAACTCATAAAAATCACTTGTCTTTTTGTGAGGTTTCCATTCTAGAGATAAATGTCTGACATTTTCCAAACTAAAATCCCAAAATTTATAAAAAAAAATCATCAATCACTTGCAATGAAAAAAAATGGGAAATTGATGAGGCTTATCTTCAGCAAGCACATCAAAGTGAGAAGGCAATGGGGAAGAGGTGGTAGGGAGGGGGGGGGGGGAAAGGAAAGCTCAACTGAAAGCCAAAGAAAATGTGGAACACCAAAAAGTGGGAACTATAATTCATTCATGAAAATAATCTTTGTAGATGAATGGTTCAGAGAACCGACATGTTGATAAATTAGACACATGTGCAACTCTTGGGTATCTTTATTGAGGAAACGTTTCGCCACACAGTGGCTTCATCAGTCCGTACGTAGGAGAAACTTGAAGAACAGGAGGAGAATGAGGTAATCAGTCCCTCAACCTTGAGTCGATGTGTTCAGTCCATCAATCTTGAATAGAATACGTATTCTATTCAAGATTGATGGATTGAACACATCGACTCAAAGTTGAGGGACTGATTACCTCATTCTCCTCCTGTTCTTCAAGTTTCTCCTACGTACGGACTGATGAAGCCACTGTGTGGTGAAACGTTTCCTCAATAAAGATACTCAAGAGTTGCACATGTGTCTAATTTATCAAAATAATCTTTACTCCTGTTTATAACATCTGAGTAGATGTTATAAACAGGAGGAACTTTTTTTCCATAACTGTACATCTAGTTACTAAGTTTTCTAACACAAACAGTTTATAATGATCAGTTTATTATATCTATAAATTTAGTACTGCATTCCCTATAAAAAATTTCTGGGAAGGACGATTATGATATTAAAGCTTCCATTACTTATAAGATCATTTCACTACAAGTAATATTAGCTACCTCAATAAAACGGATGACAATAGCACAGGTGACCTGGTCCTCACCTGTAGATGATTCACCAGAGCAGCATTGCTTGGGTCGTTCGGATCAATGCGAGCATTCTCTAGCCACTTTTTAACAACTGCTGGGTTGGCTCTTGGATGGAGGTGAGACTGCAAAAATATTAGAAATTAATATTGTAATATCAAGTAAATAATAAATCTGGACTAAATGTAGGGAAATAATGTGATAAAACTATTATTATAAAAACAATAATAATATTTTTAAAAATGTTTACTTTTAGAGGTGAGTGGGTGGATACAGTTGATGGCGGAGGCCCTGTAGGTGCTAAAATTTCCCCCTCTTCTCCAAGTGCCCAACCAAGACGGTAATGCACCACTCCACACGTAAGATGGTGACCATATTCAGATTCTGGAAGACCACATCCAACTCCTTCATGCTTGTAGCTCACTACCTGGTGATGCAGCAGTGAGCTCTATGATACAGCCAAAAAAAACCACAAACTCTAGATGGTATAAAATTTACTAATTTGATTTTTAATACTTTTCTAACAGCATTACAATTAAACAATTACAAAATATAATATTACTGTGTAACCCTGGTGAAGCAGACCTATCAAAGCCAGAATTTCAGCTGAAATAACTTCCACACCAGAGCCATTTGATCCTTTTTAAACCTTCTAAAAAAAACTAGGGTAAACTTGAACACAAACTAAATGAAAATCTGAGGATCTTTTGGCAAAAAAGTCAAGAGGTCAGTCTATACACTAGGTAAATGATAAAACTGAATGACAGAACTGAGAATGCAGGGCCATAATTTCCAAGAAGAGAAATAATCTCAACTGGCACAAAAAAATCACTCATGGCAAATCTCAGCATTTTATGAATAGTACACTATCAAATCAAAATATTTTTGAGATCATTTAGGTGAACTTTTCACTATTAATGGTTATAATTTTGGGACTTGACGATCTGTTGGAGTGTGAGCAGGGTAATATTTAGTGAAGGGATTCAGGGAAGCCGGTTATTTTTATATAGCCAGACTTGAGTCCTGGAAATGGGAAGTACAATGCCTGCACTCTAAAGGAGGGGTTTTGGGATATTAGCAGTTTGGAGGGATATGTTGTGTATCTTTATACGTATATGCTTCTAAACTGTTGTGTTCTGAGCACCTCTGCAAAAACAGTGATTATGCGTGAGTGAGGTGAAAGTGTTGAATGATGATGAAAGTATTTTCTTTTTGGGGATTTTCTTTCTTTTTGGGTCACCCTGCCTCGGTGGGAGACGGCCGACTTGTTGAAAAAAAAAAAATTAAATACACCAGAATTACAATGTATTTTTCCTACCTTATCTGGACTGTATTCCTCTAATGACTGTTCAAATTTGTAAGACAGGCAAAAGTTACCAGAATTATTAACTCATCAGTGTTCCTTTAGGTGCTAAAAATACCAATTCACCTTTGTCAGAGACAACAAAAAAATACAACTGACCTGATTACCACTGAAATGAATACTGTCAAAGATGTCTTTGCAGATATTTGTTTTGCTGGGAACCGGAAGGAACGTTGAAGCCACAAGAGTCTGTCTCAGACTTGCTCCCTCCATGACTTGCAGCACAATACTACGAGGCCATGAAGAAAGAGCCATTCTGTAAGTCTGACCAATGTGAAGAGTGAAGTCATTTCCAAAATTTGCTGATGGTGTCTGAGTTACTAATTTGTTGTTTATGAGAACCTAAAAATAAATAAATGAAGATTAGTATAAAACTTGAAATTAATTAAGTAGACCAAATATAAATGTAAGCACTTAAAATATTACAAGATACAAATGTTAAAAAAGATCATAGGTACTACAACAATTAAGTCTCACACAGATGTTAGGAAATACTATTACTTCAGTGTAAGGATAACAAACATGTGGAATAAATCAGATGAGGAAGAAGTGTAGGCAAACTAAATACAGCATGTGAATTCAGAAGTAAATACGTATGTATGCACGCATGCATGTGCCACAAAAATATACTTGTACATACACAGAAATTATACTATTCTAGTGTATCCACTTCCATTACTAATAAAGTTAACTTCACATCATACCTTCACCCAAACTCGGACCTTGCTAGCTGCCTCTCTCCGACGCCTCTCTTGTTCAGGGCAAATGTTGTTTTCCATTACTGATGATGACTGAGAAAGCTCTAACTGTATGATTGGCTCCCCTGGGGGCCTTCGTGTGCGTGAAAACACTTCAAGAACTTCTAACTGCACCTGATGGAGATTTTTATTGAACTTTGTATAACATATGAGTTGTACATAAGACTTCTTTTAAATGAAGAGTTCATCAGTCATGAAAATTTTAGCATCTTCAAGCAAAACTTTTTTAATTAATTAAATTTAAAATTGTATTAAATTAGAATTTGGATGTGTCTTTCACAAATATGAAATTCTAAATTATAGTTTGCAAAAATGTCCTATGCAATTAATGAAATTTTGTATTAGAATTAAACTGTTAATTTACAAAACTTAACAGTTCCGAATTCAAATGTTTGTTATGTCAAGGTCGAGTCATGACTAACTCATAACCAGGAAGACTATGTTTCTTTGCCAAATGATTTTTAACAAAGCTAATCCTACGAATATTTTTTATATTGCTGGTTTGCCTGAGGAATAACAAGTAATAGGCATTGGAAATGATAATTAATATAAAACTGGATGCCTGAATTCAGATGGATTTTTTTTTTTTTTCAACAAGTCGGCCATCTCCCACTGAGGCAGGGTGACCCAAAAAAGAAAGAAAATCCCCAAAAAGAAAATACTTTCATTATCATTCAACACTTTCACCACACTCACACATTATCACTGTTTTTGCAGAGGTGCTCAGAATACAACAGTTTAGAAGCATATACGTATAAAGATACACAACATATCCCTCCAAACTGCCAATATCCTAAACCCCCTCCTATAAAGTGCAAGCATTGTACTTCCCATTTCCAGGACTCAAGTCCGACTATATGAAAATAACCGGTTTCCCTGAATCCCTTCACTAAATATTACCCTGCTCACACTCCAACAGATTGTCAGGTCCCAAGTAGCATTCGTCTCCATTCACTCCTATATAACACGCTCACGCACGCTTGCTGGAATTCCAAGCCCCTCGCCCACAAAACCTCCTTTACCCCCTCTCTCCAACTCTTTCGAGGACAACCCCTACCCCGCCTTCCTTCCCCTATAGATTTATACAGGTCTCCCTCAACATTCGCGAGGGTTAGGGGATCAAGAGCCTCGCGAATGTTGAAAAACCGTGAATGTTTGGTGCCCCAATATATTGTAGGGAAATATAATACAATACTGCTTCCTTAACTTGTTGAACCATGAACAATCATAAAATACATGAAAACGTCGTAAATTGTACTAAATATATACATGTTATGCTTTAATAACACGTATGTTATTAAATACCACAGACTCCACCAATGCCTCCACCACTTCCCCAACCACTGCGAGTCCCTACTACCCTCCCTCCGACCCCCGCAACTGGCAACCAGCCCTTCCACCACTCAGTGTGGTGAGTGTTTTGTTTGTTCATTATTTGCTATTAAACTACAGTATAAATAATGTAAACCCATTCATGACTGCATATTGGAATGGCTATTCGGACAGGTATTGGACGTGACATCATGTGTTTAGTCTTAAACCCACAGCAAAGAATCAAACATTTCTGCTACTGCTAATAATAACAATAGTAATAATAATAATAATAATAATAATAATAATAAATAATATAATAATAATAATAATAATAATAATAATACGATATAATTGAAGAAGGAAATTGTACAAAAATACGAGGAGTGGTTGACACATCGTCAGTGTGGCTTTGTTTATGCTGGAGTGAGCATTAGTCTCCCTGCTCTTCCAAACATTTTCACAATAATTCAGCAGTTGAGGCGTGGTATTTAATAACATATATGTTATAAATAATAATAGTACATATTAATAACATGTATTATTATTATTAATAACATGTATGTTATTAAATACCACTGCCTCAATCGCTTCCTCACCAGCTGCCTCACCCATTGCCTCAGTCGCTGCTTCAACAGTTGCCTCAATCGCTGCCTCAACAGCTGCCTCAACAGCTGCCTCAATCGCTTCCTCAACAGCTGCCTCACCCACTGCCTCAATCGCTGCCTCAACAGCTGCCTCAGTGACCACTGCCTCAATCGCTGCCTCAACAGCTGCCTCAATTGCTGCCTCAACAGCTGCCTCAATTGCTGCCTCAACAGCTGCCTCAATCGCTGCCTCAACAGCTGCCTCAATCGCTGCCTCAACAGCTGCCTCAATCGCTGCCTCAACAGCTGCCTCAATCGCTGCCTCAACAGCTGCCTCATGCACTGCCTCATGCACTGCCTCAACAGCTGCCTCAACAGCTGCCTCACCCACTGCCTCAACAGCTGCCTCACCCACTGCCTCAATAGCTGCCTCAACCACTGCCTCAATCGCTGCCTCAACAGCTGCCTCACCCACTGCCTCAATCGCTGCCTCACCCACTGCCACAATCGCTGCCTCAACAGCTGCCTCAATCGCTGCCTCAACAGCTGCCTCAACAGCTGCCTCAACCGCTGCCTCAACCACTGCCTCTACCACTCCAGTCGCACTCAATCTACAAGTACCAAACACAATGAATTATTGTGAAATGTTTGGAAGAGCAGGGAGACTAATGCTCACTCCAGCATAAACAAAGCCACACTGACGATGTGTCAACCATTCCCTCGTATTTTTGTACAACTTCCTTCTTCAATTATATCGCATTTATTATTATTATTATTATTATTATTATTATTATTATTATTATTATTATTACTATTGTTATTATTAGCAGTAGCAGAAATGTTTGATTCTTTGCTGTGTTCAAGAGTAAACACATGTCACCGTCCAATACCTGTCCGAATAGCCATTCCAATATGCAGTCATGAATGGGTTTACATTATTTATACTGCAGTTTAATAGCAAATAATGAACAAACAAAACACTCACCACACTGAGTAGTGGGAGGGCTGGCTGCCAGTTGCAGGGGTAGGAGGGAGGGTAGTAGGGACTCGCAGGTGGCGGGAAACTTGAATATGATTTGGCGGCTGGGAATTTGGCGGTTGGGAATTTGGCGGTTGGGAATTCGCGAATGTGTGAAGCCCCCGAAAGCTGAAAACGTGAATGTTGAGGGAGACCTGTATGCTTTCCATGTCATTCTACTTTGATCCATTCTCTCTAAATGACCAAACCACCTCAACAAACCCTCTTCTGCCCTCTGACTAATACTTTTATTAACTCCACACCTTTTCCTAATTTCCACACTCCGAATTTTCTGCATAATATTTACACCACACATTGCCCTTAAACAGGACATCTCCACTGCCTCCAACCGTCTCCTCGCTGCTGCATTTACCACCCAAGCTTCACATCCATATAAGAGTGTTGGTACTACTATACTTTCATACATTCCCTTCTTTGCCTCCATAGATAACGTTTTATGACTCCACATATACCTCAACGCACCACTCACCTTTTTTCCCTCATCAATTCTATGATTAACCTCATCCTTCATAAATCCATCCGCCGACACGTCAACTCCCAAGTATCTGAAAACATTCACTTCTTCCATACTCCTCCTCCCCAATTTGATATCCAATTTTTCTTTATTTAAATCATTTGATATCCTCATCACCTTACTCTTTTCTATGTTCACTTTCAACTTTCTACCTTTACACTTTACCTTTACTTTTACAGATGGAAATGTTACTACCAAAAGTTTTGTAAGGAAACAACAGATATGAAGCACACAATATTCCACTCTAATATGTAGCTAAGGAAAAAGTGATTTATATCAATGATTTGCCACACCTGCTCTATTTTGTTCTGTTGGAAAAGCACAACAGAGAGATGGATAAGATAGGTAATATTAACATATGAATAAATATTTACACATTAAGAGATGAATAAATATTTGCATACAGATGTAAACAGACAAAACAGTTAGATATAAGCAAGTGATGGGTAGATAAGTATATTAATGAGACACAATAATTTGAATTAACCTTGCTTCTATTCAATTTTACTTTCATACCTTCTGCTGCAACACTGTGACTACTTTCTGTGAATTGAATTCTAAACTGAAATAAAACATAAAACAGTGCATACACCATCTTTGACATCCATTCTAGGTCAGTATATGTACTACCAGCATGCACATCCCCTTCCTGCCCTATGTCTACCTTATGTTTGTCTACAGGTCTGGGAGGCTGAGGCTTGGATATTTCTGGACTTGACAGTATGGTCTCATCCTGAGCAGCTTGAAGTAGAAAGCCTTCTAAATTCTCACTGAGTGCAGACTTCTGTCGTTGTTGCTGACGTTTCTTAGCTTCTTTCTAAAAAAGAGAGACAAATTGTATCAATTAACCCTTAAATGGTCCAAACGTATATATACGTTTTTTCAACATCTGAAAGTATGTAAAAAAATTAACATCTTTTTTTTTATGTTTTACATTTGAAAACGTGTAAAAAAAACTTTTATCTACATTATTTTTTTGTTATATGTGAAAATATGTAAAAAAAAGTAGATCTACTTTTGTAGCACTACGAATTTGACCGTCGATCTGTTTGGACCGTTTAAGGGTTAATGGACTGAACATTTTTAGTAAAAAAGAAAAAAGAAATAACTTTAGAATCCCTTAGAAGTTTATGAAATAAATGAATAATTTAAAAGATGCTAATTATTTTAAAAACCAATGTGTGAATTTCCAATAAACATAAAACAGTGTCACAGTTATGTTTTCTTGTCTAAAATTTCCAGTGTATTAAACACAAGCAAAGAAAATATAAAAATGAGAGTACAGTTCAGAAATGGTGGAACAGAATAAAAAATTAACACTATTGTTGTACAGTATACATATGTTAATCAAGAAAGACAATGATCTAGAAATGGAACAGAAATATTCAAAATAAAGAAAGATATTTTTATTAGATGTTAAAATAAGAGTACTTAAAAAGTTTAAAACTATAGATAATAGCAATATCATGTTAGTATAAACAGCATACTAATACTAAAATTGAATGAGCCCAAATAACACATTGTTATTAATACAGTAATAATCAAACAATAATAATTTTATTTTGTGAACATGCCAAAAGCCCCTTTATATGCAGAACATTTCAGGCAAACTTAAGACTAACTTAAGATTAATAAGGCAATAACAGTGCTGTAACTGTACATATGGTCATTAGGTAAGTTACAATGAATACAAGAAAATTGAATATTCAACTAGTATATGCTATACGGCTCTAATAAGTTCGGTAGATAAGAATTACAGTCTTGATATAGTATATAAAAAATACAGTATTACAATTTAGCACAATTTAAAATAGTGATGCTCAAGTTAGAGTATGTAGGAAAGAGGGAAATTATTTCCCAGTAAAAGTAGGCCTTAGACAAGGATGTGTGATGTCACCGTGGTTGTTTAATATATTTATAGATGGGGTTGTAAGAGAAGTAAATGCGAGGGTCTTGGCAAGAGGCGTGGAGTTAAAAGATAAAGAATCACACATAAAGTGGGAGTTGTCACAGTTGCTCTTTGCTGATGACACTGCTCTTGGGAGATTCTGAAAAGAAGTTGCAGAGATTGGTGGATGAATTTGGTAGGGTGTGCAAGAGAAGAAAATTGAAAGTGAATACAGGAAAGAGTAAGGTTATGAGGATAACAAAAAGATTAGGTGATGAAAGATTGGATATCAGATTGGAGGGAGAGAGTATGGAGGAGTGAATGTATTCAGATATTTGAGAGTGGACGTGTCAGCGGATGGGTCTAAGAAAGATGAGGTGAATCATAGAATTGATGAGGGGAAAAGGGTGAGTGGTGCACTTAGGAGTCTGTGGAGACAAAGAACTTTGTCCTTGGAGGCAAAGAGGGGAATGTATGAGAGTATAGTTTTACCAACGCTTTTATATGGGTGTGAAGCATGGGTGATGAATGTTGCAGCGAGGAGAAGGCTGGAGGCAGTGGAGATGTCATGTCTGAGGGCAATGTGTGGTGTGAATATAATGCAGAGAATTCGTAGTTTGAAAGTTAGGAGGAGGTGCGGGATTACCAAAACTGTTGTCCAGAGGGCTGAGGAAGGGTTGTTGAGGTGGTTCGGACATGTAGAGAGAATGGAGCGAAACAGAATGACTTCAAGAGTGTATCAGTCTGTAGCGGAAGGAAGGCGGGGTAGGGGTCGGCCTAGGAAAGGTTGGAGGGAGGGGGTAAAGGAGGCTTTGTGTGCGAGGGGCTTGGACTTCCAGCAGGCATGCGTGAGCGTGTTTGATAGGAGTGAATGGAGACAAATGGTTTTTAATACTTGACGTGCTGTTGGAGTGTGAGCAAAGTAACATTTATGAAGGGGTTCAGGGGAACCGGCAGGCCGGACTTGAGTCCTGGAGATGGGAAGTACAGTGCCTGCACTCTGAAGGAGGGGTGTTAATGTTGCAGTTTAAAAACTGTAGTGTAAAGCACCCTTCTGGCAAGACAGTGATGGAGTGAATGATGGTGAAAGTTTTTCTTTTTCGGGCCACCCTGTCTTGGTGGGAATCGGCCAGTGTGATAATAAAAATAATTAAAATAATGAAGTTGAAACAATTTTAAGTTTAAAGTAATGATTAAATAGTTGAGCAATCATCAAGCACAATTTACAATATGAGGTATGTATTGCAATTTAGCACAATTTAAAACAATGAAATTGAAACAATTATAAGTTTTAAGTAATGATTAAACAGTTGAGCAGTCATCAAGTACAATATACAATAATGAAATTGAAACAGTTTTAAGTTTGAAGTAAATAATCAAATAGCTGAGCAGTCATAAATTATTTAGGAATTATTTGAGTAACTGGTAGATGTTAAGTGTAGCGATTGTCTGGTTAATTTTGGGTGATGAGGTGATTTCTAAGTAGGGCCTTAAATTTATTTGCAGGCAGAGGCCCTTTAGTGTGTTCTGGCAATGAATTCCAGATCTTCAGGCATTTATGTTCATAGCATTTTTGAATAGGGAGAGATGGACACGAGGGATATCGAAGAGTGATTTGTGCTTTATGTTATGCCTGTGTGTTCTGTTGTAGTTATCAAGGAGGAGTTTGAGAGGAACATTAATATTTAAGTATAATGCTGTGTGTGTGTAGTAGGCACAATAAAAAGTGTGGATGTTTTGTATACTAAGCAAGTTAAGGCTCTTAAAAAGCAATGGAGTGTGCTGTCTAGTGCAGGAGTTGGTAATCAGCCGCACTGCAGCTTTTTGTTGGGTTATTAAAGGTTTAAGATGATTTGCTGTAGTTGAGCCCCATGCATAAATACCATAGGTGAGGTAAGGGTAAATGAGAAATTGGTAAAGAGCAAGAAGAGCCATTTGGGGTACATAGTACCGTATCTTTGAAAGGATACCTACTGTTTGGGAGACTTTCTTGGATATTTGCTGTGTGTGGGTCTGGAATTTGAAGCTGCAGTTAAGGTAGAGACCTAGAAATTTGCCGTGTGTGTGTATGTCTTGAAATGGGTGAACTATTTATCAATATGTTTAGCTGTACATTTGAAGTCTGTTTCCAAATAGCATGAAGTAGGTTTTGTCTATATTGAGAGTAAGTTTGTTGGTCGTCATCCAAGTAGATATTTTTAGTAGTTCGTCATTATAGTTGGGTCTGGGTGAGAGAAGACATAAGTAGTGTCATCTGCAAATAAAATTGATTTAAGGAGTTTAAATGCATCTGGAAGATCATTAATGTAAAAAAGAAAGAGAAGTGGGCCAAGGACACTACCCTGTGGGACTCCAACAAGACTATATTTCCTTACAAAACTGACAACAGTAAAAAAATTCCAATGCAGCTAACAAGTGGAGATATAAGTGGTTGAATACTCCTGAAATACAAACTTGGGCAGAATTGTAAAAAAATATCACTACTGAATTTAATAATGATCAAACTATTCATAGGTTTGAAACCCAGCCCAACATTTCAATGTCATATTTTTATTTTTATGTATACTTATAAAGAGACCTCTTTGGTAATATACTTCTGAAATGGTTAAACTGCTACTGAAGATATCTAACCAGGCTTAAACATAAGGTTAGCTCACACATATAATCACAAATGTGAAAGAAAAATAAAAGCAGCAGGTAAAAAGGGAACAGGTAAAAGAAATAAAAAAAAAACTGAGAATGAATTAACAGTATCAAACTGAACACTCTGCCCGATATGTGCAATTACATTTAATTTTAGAGATACTATCCATATTCTTACTCTTTTTTTATGAGCAGCTTTCCATTCAGTCATCTTCCTTTCATATTTCTTCATCTTCTTTGTATACTCCTCTTCATACTCTTCAAGTAATTCTTTTACCTCTTCCTCTAATTCTTCTTTCCTTTTCTCTTCTTCATCTTCCTTATTGACATCTTCCTTTTTGATGATCAATTTTAATGAAGTACTATAATATTTATTACTTCTTCTCAGATGCTTAATGCTTTTCCATATTTTGAGAATGTTTGCTAGTAAGATTCTGTCACGTTCAGCTTCAGCAACAAATTCTTCATAACAATCATGAATTTCTTTGCGGTAAATTTCTAGTCTCCTGGTAGAGTCTATCTCTTCATGAACAGTCTTATAATGCCTTTTGGAATCTGGCCTAATCTGACGAAGTTTTGCTAAAGATTGCCGGAGTACCTTCAAAATTAAACAAAAACTAGGTATTAGTGAGGCATTCATTCAGTAGGAATAGGAATTTTTTTTTTACGACGAACCAGCTGTATCCCACTGAAATAAGGTGACCTAAAAAGAAAAACAAAAGTTTCTCTTTTTAAAATTAATATTTTATACAGGAGAAGGGGTTACTAGTCCCTTGCTCCTGCCAGAATAGTAATGATATATACAATTAACCTCCATGGGGAAGTGGAACAGAATTGTTTGCAATCGTGTCATTACGATTTCGTGAGTCATGATATACAATTAAATGTTTACTCTATATATTTACATGTAAATATACAAGAGATTTAGTTTAGGAGTGGTTGGTGAGTTTGTTCAATATAAGGATGAAAGAAGGGCAGGTGTCTAAGGATTGGCAGAGAGCATGCATACTTCCTTTGTACAAGAGGGAAGTGGACAAGACAGAGAGTGGGTATTATAGAGGAATAACCTTAAGTATATTGGTTAAGTATACAGTAAAATTATTATCAAAAAGAATTAGAGTTAAGACAAAAAACAGGACTGCAGAGAAACAAGAAATCAGGAAGAGTAGGGAATGCATAGATTAGGTGTTTGCAATGTTACACATAAGTAAACAACTCAGATAAGGTAAAGAAATTGCCTCGGTGTGAGACAGCTGATGTGTTAAAAAAAATAATAATAATGAAAGCGTTTCTTCTTTTTTGGGTCATCCTGCCTTGGTGAGAAAAGGCTAATGTGTTAAGAAAAAAAAGGCTTTCAACAAGGTGGACAGGGAGCACTGTGGCAGATGTTACAAATGTATAGAATCAATAGAAGGTTGCTAATAGCAGTAAAGTATTCTTATGAGGAAAAGTGATGTTACTATGATTGTTTAATATACTGTACACTATATACAGAAGATACTTTAAAGGAAGTGAATGTTAGAGTGAAGTGGAAGTTGTCACAGTTGTCTTTATTGATATCATTGTACTTTTGGAAGATTCTAAAAAGAAGCAACAAAGGTTTTTGGAAAAGTTTGGGAGGGTGTGTAAAAGAAGGAAACTGAAAGTAAACATAGAAAGGTGATGAGTAACAAAATTCCTAGGAAATGAAAGATTGGATATCAGATTAGAGGGAGTATAAAGGAAGTTAATGTATTTAGATATTTTTGGAATGATGTGTCAGCATTGGCACATGGGTTTATGTAAGACAAGGAGAACCATTGAATAGCCAAGAAAAAAAACATGTGATGCTGACATGTTTGTGGAAATAAAGAAATTTATCTTTGTATAATGGTACCAAGACTGTTAAACAGATGTGGGGCACTGTCATTACACACTGCAGCATACACAAAGACTGGAGGCAGTGGTGTTATGTTTGAGAGCAGTGTGTGAGTCAGTTAATTATCATCATACTCAAGGGGAAGAATTAAACCCAAAGAGATCATATTGTACTTGGGGAATGGGAGTAAATCAGATTTGATCCAAGGAAGCAAAAGGTACCTCCAGTTCCCTGGGGCAAAAGCCCTTCATCAGCAAGAAAAAGGGGGGTTGAACTTAAGTAAATATGAAGAGCCAAGTTGTTTGAATAAAGACAGATGACCCCCCAAAACCAGATACACAAAGAGGAAGGGTTACTGTGGAGTACCACGAATGATGTAACGCAAGCATGAGATAAAATTCAACAATAATATAGTAACAATATTGTAGGAAATAATATAAAAAGAAGCTAGGATCATAGACAGCAAAACAAATCTAGCTCATATAGTAAAATAAAGCAATACTGAAGAAAATGCAAAAGACTGCATCTAACTGGTACCTGAATTCACATGAACGAAGGATTGAAGAAATGCAATAGATACATAAACCTTCCATCACTGGAAGAATAAAAGAGGATGTAATCACAACATACATAATACTCAAAGGCAAACAGGATAGATAATGATAGGTTTTTACTGCAGGTGAAACAAGAAAAGAGGGAATAGCTGGAAATTACACATTTGTATGTCACAAGAATATCATAAGCTGTTGAAGAAGTACAATGAGCTGAAAAATTACACAGCTGCAGAGGCATTCACACAGGGTTAAAAACAATAGATAAATTGGGTATTTCACATTAAGTGGGTGAAAGTTAAGATTAGGCACCAAGAACTAACATTCATCCCACTTTCCACAAACACAAATAGGTAACTGCACTAATGTATATGCCTAATATAATATATCATGAGGCAGTTATCAATACCACTAAAACAAAAATGCTCTGCTCATTCAAACACAAAGCTTTTAACTTACAAGCAGTTTGTTGCGGAGAATTTTTGTAATACCAGCTGCTGCCCTTTCCACATAGGTGTTGTATGCTTGAGTGAGCTGTGATGCTAGGACATGCTCAGGTGAGAAAAGTGGATGATGTGCAAAGGTTAGATGGGAAAGCTCAACATCCAACACACCCCCATCATCTGGGCTCAGGCTCTGCAAACACTCACTCCCACGTGGCTGAGGAAATATAATCAAACAGCTTAGCAACATACTTTTTTTAACAAATGGCACCAGTTATTGTTGCTGATATTACTGTACTATCAACCACATTATGTACTATCAACTATATTATCCTATCCCCCATAAGTCGAGCATGTCATAAGAGGCGACTAAAATGCCAATAGCAAGGGGTTTGTAACCCCTTCTCTTGTATAAATTAATAAATCTAAAAGAAAAAAAAAAACTTCCGTTTTTCTTTTTAGGTCATCCTGCCTTGGTAGAAAATGGCCAGTGCATTAAAAAAAAAACTACATTATGTACTCTCAACTGCATTATGATTTGACTACTGAATTTGAAATTTAAAACAAAATATCGTATATTTAGTAGGCTGGTAAACAGCAACCACTCAGGGAGGTACTACCGTCCTGCCAAGTGAGTGTGAAACGGAAACCATTAATTGTTTTACAAGATGGTAGGATTGCTGGTGTCTTTTTTCTGTCTCAAACATGCAAGGTTTCAGGTATGTCTTGCTACTTCTACTTACACATAGGTCACATTACACATGCATGTAAAAGCATATATATGTATACACTCCCCTCTGGGTTTTCTTCTCTTTTCTTCCTAGTTCTTGTTCATTTCTGCTTATCTCCATGGGAAAGTGGAACAGAATTCTTTCCCTGTAAGCCATGTGTGCCGTAAGAAGCGACTAAAATGCTGGGAGCAAGGGGCTAGTAACCCCTTCTCTTGCCTCGGTGGGATAAGGCCAGTTTGTTGAAAGAAAGAAGAAAGATCTTATATTTAATAAAGATACAAACAAAGTTTATTATGACACAGAAGAACTCATTGTTTCCATAAGCACAATTTGAAATCATGCTTCAAACTTTTAAGACTGAACAGCATAAATAAAACATTACACACCCGAACAAATACAGTTAGTGGTTCCTCCTCAGTCTCTAAATCCAGAGGAAGATGATGATAGAACTGATCACTGATAGGGTTGTCCAGCCTATCCAGTGACCCTGTCTCAGAGAACCAATTCCTGTAACACAACAAATAATATTTAAGAAACAATTTGGGAATTTTCAATAGTTTCATTGAGCAGTCCATGCCCATTGTGTGGAAAGTAATCAAAGGATTAGAGATATCTTTAGACAACCTTCCATGGGATGGGTCTGGGGTGCATGATGAAGCTATCACATGCTTTTGAATAAGCCACTGTCTTTGTTAACATACATACTGGTGAGGGGTAAAAGGTGAGTGGTGCAATGAGATATCTGTGGAGATAAAGAACCTTATCCATGGAGGCAATAAGAATAATGTACCAGAGTATAGTGGTGCCAACACTCTTTTATGGGCTTGAAGAATGGAATTTAAATGTTGCAGAGAGGAGTAGGCTGGAAGCAGTGGAGATGTCGTGTCTGTGGGCAATGTGTAGTGTGAATATTATGCAGAGAATTTGTAGTTTGGAGATTAGGAGGAGGTGAGGGATTACTAAAACTATTATCCAGAAGGATGAGAAGGGGTTGTTGAGGTGGTCTGGACATCAAGAGAGAATGGAGAAAAATTGGATGACTTGGAGGGTGTATAAATTTGTAGTGGAGGAAGGAAGGGTAGGGGTCTTCCATGGAAAGGTTGGAGGGAGGAGTATAAGGGAGGTTTTGTGTATGAGGGGCTTAGACATCCAACAGGTGTGTGTGTGTGTGTGTGTGTGTGAAAATGTTAGATAGAAGTGAGTGGGGAAATAGTTAAACAACTGAAATAGAGCATGTGTATATGCCAACAAGTCAAGTACAACTGCAGTCTTTTCCCAATTCCTAAAAAAATAATGAATAGAATTTTCTTATTTCATAATGACCTTCAAAAATCTTTTATAACCTTGTTGCCTGATATGGATGGCACCAAATGCTCGACTTGCTGGTGAAAAGTATCATAATGTGCATGAAGTATAAAAACTCCCAAGTGTTCATTCTTTTAGCTAAAAACTTGAAAAAATTCCTATGCATAACATGAGCAGGCTTCTCTCACTATATGCAAACTTGCTATTATGCAATGTCCTATTTTTGTCATGCAGTATGTGTGATAGTCAGTGGCCATATGTAATTGATGTAACTCACAAAGTACACTGAAGATTCTTTTTTTTTTTTTTTTTCAACAAGTCGGCCGTCTCCCACCAAGGCAGGGTGACCCAAAAAAGAAAGAAAATCCCCAAAAAGAAAATACTTTCATCATTCAACACTTTCACCACACTCGCACATTATCACTGTTTTTGCAGAGGTGCTCAGAATACAACGGTTTAGAAGCATACAAATATAAAGATACACAACATATCCCTCCAAACTGCCAATATCCCAAACCCCTCCTTTAAAATGCAGGCATTGTACTTCCCATTTCCAGGACTCAAGTCCGACTATATGAAAATAACCGGTTTCCCTGAATCCCTTCACTAAATATTACCCTGCTCACACTCCAACAGATCGTCAGGTCCCAAGTACCATTCGTCTCCATTCACTCCTATCTAACACGCTCACACACGCTTGCTGGAAGTCCAAGCCCCTTGCCCACAAAACCTCCTTTACCCCCTCTCTCCAACCCTTTCGAGGATGACCCCTACCCCGCCTTCCTTCCCCTATAGATTTATATGCTTTCCATGTCATTCTACTTTCATCCATTCTCTCTAAATGACCAAACCACCTCAACAACCCCTCTTCTGCCCTCTGACTAATACTTTTATTAACTCCACACCTTTTCCTAATTTCCACACTCCGAATTTTCTGCATAATATTTACACCACACATTGCCCTTAAACAGGACATCTCCACTGCCTCCAACCGTCTCCTCGCTGCTGCATTTACCACCCAAGCTTCACACCCATATAAGAGTGTTGGTACTACTATACTTTCATACATTCCCTTCTTTGCCTCCATAGATAACGTTTTTTGACTCCACATATACCTCAACGCACCACTCACCTTTTTTCCCTCATCAATTCTATGATTAACCTCATCCTTCATAAATCCATCTGCCGACACATCAACTCCCAAGTACAGTGGACCCCCGCATAACGATGGCATGACATAGCGATTATTTCGCATACCGCTTACTTTAATCGCAAAATTTTTGCCGCGCATACCGATTAAAAACCCGCTCACCGATTTTCGTCCGAGACGCGTCCAATGTGCGCCCTCACCCAGCCTCACATGTGCCGCCCGTGCCATTGTTTACCAGCCAGCCTCCGCGCTAACATCCAAGCATACACTCGGAATATTTCGTATTATTACAGTGTTTTCGGTGGTGTTTCTGGAAAATAAGTGACCATGGGCCCCAAGAAAGCTTCTAGTGCCAACCGTACACCAATAAGGGTAAGAATACCCATTGAAATGAAGAAAGAGATCATTGATAAGTATGAAAGTGGAGTGCGTATTGCCGACCTAGTCAAGTTGTACAAGAAACCCCAATCAACCATCGCTACTATTGTGGGCACCAAAAAGACAATCAAGGAAGCTGTTCTTGCCAAAGGTTTAACTGTGTTTTCGAAACAAAGATCGCAAGTGATGGAAGATGTTGAGAGACTCTTATTGGTGTGGATAAATGAAAAACAGCTAGCAGGAGATAGCGTCTCTCAAGCGATCATATGTGAAAAGGCTAGAAGTTGCATGAGGATTTAATTAAAAAAATGCCTGCAACTAGTGATGATGTGAGTGAATTTAAGGCCAGCAAAGGTTGGTTTGAGAGATTTAAGAAGCGTAGTGGCATCCATAGTGTGATAAGGCATGGTGAGGCTGCCAGTTCGGGGGGGACCACAAAGCGGCTGAAAAATATGTGCAGGAATTCAAGGAGTATATAGAAACTGAAGGACTGAAACCTGAACAAGTGTTTAATTGTGATGAAACAGGCTGTTCTGGAAGAAAATGCCAGCAGGACCTACATTACTCAGGAGGAAAAGGCACTCCCAGACATAAGCCTATGAAAGACAGGCTTACTCTTCTCATGTGTGCCAATGCTACGTGTGATTGCAAAGTGAAGCCTTTATTAGTGTATCACTCTGAAACTCCCAGAGCGTTCAGGCAAAAGAATGTCCTCAAGGATAATTTGTGTGGCTGTGGAGGGCAAACAGTAAGGCATGGGTCACTAGGGAATTTTTCTATAACTGGTTACACCATGCATTTGCCCCAATGTGAAAGATTACCTAACTGAAAAGAAATTAGAACTTAAGTGCCTCCTGGTGTTAGACAATGCCCCTGGTCATCCTACAGACGTGGCAGAGCGACTTAGGGGGACATGAGCTTCATTAAGGTGAATTTTTTTGCCTCCTAATACCATCCTCTCCTGCAGCCCAGGCCAGCGGGTTTATTTCCAATTCAAGAATGTAACAAAAGTCTTTTTGAAAGGGCTTTGTAATGACCTAGAAACTCAATGATCAAAGATTTTTTGGAGAGATCATTTTAATACCCTCAATTGTGAAAACCCTTTAAGGAAGGTTGGGAGGAAGTGACAAAAGGGGCCCTTGAACTTGCTTGGAAGAAACGGGGGCCAGAATGTGTAGACAAAAGGGGATTTTAAAGGGGTTTGAGGTAACCCGAAATCCTGTGCCAGTTGGGGAATCCATTGTGGATTGGGAAAGCCCTTGGGGTTGGGGTTAGGGGGGAGGATGTGGAAGAGTTGGTGGGGAGGACAATAAGAACAACCATGAGAGTATAATCAACTTCAAGAGCAAGAGGCCAGACCGGGGAAAGGGTTCAGGAGGGGAGAGAAAAATTGAAAAGTTGCCTACTACAAAGAAAAGGAAATCTGTGCAAAAGTGGCTTGAAGTGCAAACCTTCAGGGTGAAAAATCCCCTTTACACGCATTGCAAGCCGTGTTGGCAACCTGTAAACTACAATGTTGGGGAAACACTTTGGGTGATAAAGGAAGGGGTACAGGCCACTAGGACAATACTTTTGCGAAAAATCCAGTACTCTGAAGCTGGGCCCCAGGGCTAAAAAAAGAAGGGAAGTACCCCCGAAAAAGGGCTTACTACCTCAAGTCCCCAAGGAAGGGGATTCCCCCCTTTTAAAAAGTAAAAGAAATGCTCTCCCTCCTCCCACCCCTCAAAATACCCGTTTTTAATAAAAGTAAGTGTCATGTAAGTGTCATGCCTTTTTCATTTGATTAAAATAATATTTCATGTGGTAAAAAAAATTTTTTTTTCATACTTTTGGGTGTCTTGCACGGATTAATTTTATTTCCATTATTTCTTATGGGGAAAATTCATTCACATAACGATTATTTCGCATAACAATTACCCCTCTTGCACGGATTAAAATCGTTAACCGGGGGTCCACTGTATCTGAAAACATTCACTTCTTCCATACTCCTCCTCCCCAATTTGATATCCAATTTTTCTTTATCTAAATCATTTGATACCCTCATCACCTTACTCTTTTCTATGTTCACTTTCAACTTTCTACCTTTACACACATTCCCAAACTCATCCACTAACCTTTGCAATTTTTCTTTAGAATCTCCCATAAGCACAGTATCATCAGCAAAAAGTAACTGTGTCAATTCCCATTTTGAATTTGATTCCACAAAATTTAATCCCACCCCTCTCCCGAACACCCTAGCATTTACTTCCTTTACAACCCCATCTATAAATATATTAAACAACCATGGTGACATTACACATCCCTGTCTAAGACCTACTTTTACCGGGAAGTAGTCTCCCTCTCTTCTACACACCCTAACCTGAGCCTCACTATCCTCATAAAAACTCTTTACAGCATTTAAATAACTTACCACCTATTCCATATACTTGCAACATCTGCCACATTGCTCCTCTATCCACTCTATCATATGCCTTTTCTAAGTCCATAAATGCAATAAAAACTTCCCTACCTTTATCTAAATACTGTTCACATATATGCTTCAATGTAAACACTTGATCTACACATCCCCTACCCACTCTGAAACTCCTTGCTCATCCGCAATCCTACATTCTGTCTTACCTCTAATTCTTTTAATTATAACCCTACCGTACACTTTTCCTGGTATACTCAGTAAACTTATTCCTCTATAATTTTTACAGTCTCTTTTGTCCCCTTTCCCTTTATATAAAGGGACTGTACATGCTCTCCGCCAATCCCTAGGTACCTTCCCCTCTTTCATACATTTATTAAACAAAAGTACCAACCACTCCAACACTATATCCCCCCCTGCTTTTAACATTTCTGTCATGATTCTATCAGTTCCAGCTGCTTTACCCCCTTTCATTCTACGTAATGCCTCATGTACCTCCCCCACACTTACATTCTGCTCTTCTTCACTCCTAAAAGATGGTATACCTCCCTGACCAGTGCATGAAATTACTGCCTCTCTTTCTTCCTTAACATTTAAAAGTTCCTCAAAATATTCTCGCCATCTACCTAATACCTCCATCTCCCCATCTACTAACTCCCCTACTCTGTTTTTAACTGACAAATCCATACTTTCCCAGGGCTTTCTTAACTTGTTTTACTCACCCCAAAATTTTTTCTTTTTTTCATTTAAAATTTTTTACAGTGCCTCTCCACTCTATCCTGCTCTCCTTTTGCACTCTTCACCACTCTCTTTACCTTTCTTTTAAACTCTCCATATACTTTTTGCTCTTTTTTAAATTTCGCTTTGTAAAAACCTCTCATAAACTTTTCTTTTTTACATACCCTTTACTTCATCTTTTCCCCCAATCACTCCTCTTTCCCCTGCCCCCACCCCCTAAACCACAAATTTTGCCCCACATTCTAATACGCATTTTAAAAACTTTTCCAACCCTCTTCAACCCCCCACTACTATCTTTGCCTAGCCCACCTTTTCCCAATATCGCTTATATTCCCCAGAACTTCCCCTCCCTTAGTTTAACACTTTCACCCCCCTTTACTTGTTGTTGCCACCTTCCCTTTTCCCTTACCTCTTACCTAACTGTAGCTACAACTAAAAATTTTTATTTTTTATTATCACATGGCTGATTTCCCCCCAAGGCAGGGGGGGCCCAAAAAGAAAAACTTTCCAACCCCTTCATCCCTCACTGTCTTGCCAGAAGGGGGTTACACACAGTTTTTAAACTGCAAAAATTAACCCCCCTCCTTCAGAGTGCAGGGACTGTACTTCCCATCCCAGGACTCAATCCGGCCCGCCGTTCCCGAACCCCTCATAAATGTTACTTTGCTCACACTCCAAAAGCACCAAGTATTTTAAAAAACCCTTTTTCCCATTCACTCCTACCAAAAACGCTCACGCATGCCTGCTGGAAGTCAAATTTAAAAAAAAAATATCATTGCCCCTCTATAAACATGTACATCCTGGAGCCTACCCATCAACCTTTTATCCACCAATACATAATCTAATAAACTACTTTCATTATGTGCTACATCATACCTTGTATATTTATTTATCCTCTTTTTCATAAAATATGTATTACTTATTACCAAATCTCTTTCTACACATAGCTCAATTAAAGGCTCCCCATTTACATTTACCCCTGGCACCCCAAATTTACCTACTACTCCCTCCATAACATTTTTACCCACTTTAGCATTCAAATCCCCAACCACCATTACTCTCACACTTGATTCAAAACTCCCGTGTTTACAGTTGGCTGAGCTTAGTACAGCTGCAAAGCCTGGAACACATCTATAGCATAAACCATAGGAAACCAACTGCATATTTTTCCCCATATTATTATTACAATCAGAACTAAGCATTAAACCCACAAGGGTCATACAGTGCTGCTTTATTCCCCATAAAATTGCCTTACTAGCACTGCTAAAATGTCCCTTACCTTCATCACTATGATTCATCACAAAATTAATCTCAGATCATCCATACACTAATTTAACAAAAGTTTAATATAGGAAGTAATAATTTTAAATATAAATCATATAAAGAATAGTAATTATTTTACTAAACCAACAAACCTATTTCCCTGCTGAAGAAGCCTATTTTCAATAATGTTTATATTAGTTTGTTTGATGAAAGGTTTTTCACCAACATAAAGACCTTCCTCCTCAAGATTCCTTAGCTCAGTACCGGCATCAATCTTATTGTGTAAATCACCTGTAAACAATGAGAAATATATTATATATTTTTTTTGCATTTACATATAAAGGCACAAGTCAAATTTATGTACAGTACTTTATATTACAATTGCAATAAAAAAATCAGCATTGCAATTACTGAAAGTTAAACCACATTTAGTAATGCCAGTATTTAAATTCTGTTATACAGAAAAATACTACTATACTTCTTATATCATGCTATTGTACTAAATTGTATATTTACTGTTTTTATAAAAAAGCCTCAATTAATATTACTACTTCACATTATTTTTACTATTTCTCATATCATACTATTGTATTACACTGGTTTTTGACTAGTTTTATATAAAATTTCATCCCTGGATCAAGAGTTGCTCTCCATCAATTAACCTTCCATAATGGGTATGCATTATGCACAATCTATATTTTTTCAGTTCTTTTCACATTATTAGTATGATTATTATTTTCTTTTCAACGAACCGGTCATCTCCCACTGAGGCAGGGTGACCCAAAAAAGAAAAAACACTTTCACCATCACTCACTCCATAACTGTCTTGACAAGGAAGGAAACAGTAGGTCTAATCCTTTGAATCAAGAGCACTTCAACATCAAAACATCCTTTATTTGAAGGGACATTTTACCCCCAAACAAAAAAAAACTACTTACATTATGCACCAAATGACTTACACAATAAGAAATTTTATTCAGTATATCATTTTTTAATTCTTTTCAACTCAGTGTAAGACTAGGTTAAACTCAATATACACTCTAATATTGATTTTTTCAGTATGATTCATTGGCTTGTATACTAACTTGGCAGCACTGAAGGCACAAAGAGCACTGCTTCATCATTAGCACATCTTTCATGGTAGGATAAATATTTGGCAGGAACAGTCCGAGTCACCAGCTGCAACTGAGAGGCTACCAAACCTGACTTCTCACTCTCTTTACCTATGTGTAGGTCAAAGAAATACAAGTCAATCAGAAATGATGCACATGACTGATTGAGCCCTTAGCCCTCTCAAAAAAAATTTAAAAAGAATATCTAAACAGCATTGTGACACAAAGCAGTACATGTACTGTAAAAAAAACTCAACATTTATGTGACGAATACTTGATGTGTTCTTAACAGGGCACAAACTCAACTTAGGAAAACCAAACAATGCTTAGCAACTGATCAAGTAATCACACAAGAGATTCGTGTCAGACGATATTTTCCTCTGGCAAAGAAAATACAACACAACCATCTAGGAAATGAAAATATTTACAGCTTAAAAAATATCAATTGAAGGTAAGCTTAGAGAATAAGAAATTATATGGAAGAGAGTTAAAAAGTAAACAATAACTTCAATACAATAATGACTTGAAGGTGAAAAAACAGTGAGGCATGTTTTTCAATGTTGATAATGACATAAAATACAGTACAGTGGAACCTCAAAAATCGAACTGCTCCCAACACAACCAACTATGTAAGTGTATTTTTGTAAGTGCTTTTATAAGCGTATTTTTGAGGGTCTGAAATGGACTAATCTAATTTACATTATTCCTGATGGGAATAAATTCATTCGGTAAAGGCACTCGAACAGCCTTCTGGACCGAAGAAAGTTCGATATTTGAGGTTCCACTGTATATAAAATGAGAAATATTATACTGCATTATGAAATAAACAAGACAGTACAGTACAAATAAAAAAGTCACCTACTTTCTATTCCATCATCATCATCTGGATCTTCTCCATCACTTCTTTCTCTGGGAGATTTAGCAGTAGGTTTTGTGCCTAATTTTCCATGTAAGACTCCTATTAAGAGGACAGAATTTAAATTATTTTAGTTCATAAAATAAATAATATATACAGTATATGGCTAAACTCTACTGCTATGCACTAATGCAACTAGCTAGGAGATTCCCATTACAAGATACCCTCTCTTCAATATTTACCATACTACAAAAAAAAAAAACTGTGTACAGTACACCATTTCAAACAAAGTTTAAAGCTAAATCAATAACCATGAATATGAGAAACTTTCGGGAAGCATTAATGAAAATACACTAACCTGGTTGTTTACAGAAATAAAGAGGCACAATAACAATTATAAAAATATTATTTTGTGTACCTGGAGAATGTTTTGGGGTTGGTTTTGTCTTCTGTCTGCCGAGCGGTGTCGGCAGCAGGTGTTCTTCTGGCCAAATTCGTGTAAAAAAGTCTTGACTTTCTACTCGTGATGCAGTCCTTGCCTACAAATTATGGCTTGATATAATATACAAAATTTTAGTAGAAATTAATTAAATGCACAAACATATGTATATGCATATATATATGCCTGTGGACAACCAGGCATAATGTACCTATGCAGATTTAGATGAAGATGATTGTAATTTTAAGTGCAGGAGTCATAGTTCTGGCCTTTGGTGACTGTGCAATGGATGTGTGTTTGGAGCAAATGTTGTTCTTCACGAGGGTAAGAATTCTGACATTCAGCGAGCATTGGTGGATAGTCTTTCTGTAGAAGTGGTTGGTGCAGAGAGCGATGCTTTTAATAATACATATTTTGAATGGTTTTATTATAAAGCTGCAGCTGGTGGAAGAGAAACTATCGAACCTTAGCAGCAAGGTGCGGGGCTCTGTTGTCTCTCCTCAGTCTATTGTTTAAGCTGTTAGGAAGAGCATTGATGAAGCAAAATAAGGGAAGGAGACATATGCTCCATGGGCACCTAATATCAGGATTAACAAACATGGAGTGAAAACTGTGTTTCAGAATCAGCAGATTCTGACTGTCAAACCAAAATCTGGTGTCCCGGTGAACATGTTGCTGTTGGCCGTGACTGTCTTGTCAGTTAAGAAAAAGAAATCTGTTCATGGTTTCAAGTCTTATTTGAAAGCACATCTCTTTTCTAGAGCAAATGATACTGATGATCATACTGTCATTCTTGAATATAAACTTCAAGGGAGAAGGAAGGAAGATAAAGAGGAGGAGGAGCTGCTGCTTTTACAGGAGTTGGTATAGGAGTTTGGAGTGAGGTTTAAAATATGGAGACTAAAAGTGAATGCCTTATATAAGAGAGTAAGGTGAGGAGAAGGTGAATAGATACTAAGACAATCTAGAAATACTTGACAAGTGTCCTACAGGATTTATATCACATCATTAACAGCAACTGCAACATCAGAAAGACAGCATCAGTCAAGTTTGTAAAGAATAAATGCAACTAATACCACCTGTGTGCACAATGAAGAGAATGCTACACAACCCAAGACTATTACATTAATGCTACACAATGCTGACAAGTTGATGAATAAAACAAATATGCCACACCTATGTATCCATATGGACAAGATGTTTTGCCTGCCCAGCAGGCTTTATTTCAATCAAGATTAGGGAACTGAACAACTAATAAAGCTAAGGGATAAAATACCTTAAAATCCTCTCGCCACTTCTTTTACTGTCTCCAGTTAAAGTCCCTTCTGTGTTAAATCTAAAAAAAGTCTACTGCATAGGTGAAACATCTCATCAATAAAGATATCTAGGTGTTGTACATGTGTCTTATTCAACAACCTATCCACTGAAGCAACATATTTAAAACACACTGGGTGTTGGTTATGTACCTGAACTGCAGCTTTCTGCCAACGCATCTTGATGTCAACTGCTACAGCTTCACCGTTGTCAGGAGGCTGGCAGTTATGGATGCACAACTCAGAATTTAATAAGCACAATTACTAAAGCTAGTTAAGTTGGAAAGGAAAATTTTATTATAAAAATTCCAAATAGTAATTATTAAGTTCCTTTAGGTATATTGTTCTATGTCATGCAACTAACCTTATGCAAGATACTAAAATTCCTAAAGAAACATGACCCAAAAATGAAATCAGATAACTACAAAATGGCCTCAGTGGGATACAGCTGGACTATTGAAAGAAAGAACTACAAAATAGTAGTGTATCATAATACTGGCTTGAAGGGAATTATAACTTTTCCTGCATATTTAAAGACATGCTACACATCAATTAATGTGTCTTGACTCATAAGCTACAATGAACTAATTTATAATGATAGCATTTTATAGTGCTTCTTTAAGTATTAGCAAATATGCATTTTGAGTATTTATGTATGCATATTAGGAAGGAAAGTGGTTTCATGGCATTTATAAAATTAAAGTAAAGGATAAAATAAATTTATCACTACCATGTAACTGTATTTAATTAGTTTCTGAAATAAAGATACTGTATTTATCTTTCAAGCTAATTAGAAACTTGAAAATTTGTTTTAAATTCACTGACTTTTCCAGACCAAAAGTGACCCAGATAATATAATATATTTATTATTTCCCATTCTAGCAACATGTACAAGACATGCATGATAATACAATGTTGATCCACAGAAATGCATCATTCTCACCCCAGGTTCAGTCTGGCAAGCAGGTTTCTCAAAAATCACTAAATCAATAAATATGTAAACTAAGTAAATGCTTAAATAAATAAATAAATAAATATATACACACATACATATATAATTGTATGTGCAGTCTGTGCATATACAGTATGTGAATTAGAAAACAAGTTCACAGTTAATTCTTTTTTTCCCTCTCATTCACTGTTATTGAGCAAATTTATAAAAATTTAGCATGCACAATGACAATACAATGGGTCTAATATCATTATAATATACATGCACTCAGTGGCCACTTTATTAGGTACACCTGTTTGCTAATGCAAATATCTAATCACCCATTCACTTGGCAGACCCTCAATGCCTAAAAGCATGCAGACATGGTCAAGACTCAAGAGGTTCAGTTGTTGTTCAGACTGAACATAAGAATGGAGAAGAAATGTGATCTAAGTGACTTTAATCGTGGAATGATTGTTGGTCTCAGACAGGGTGGTGCGAGTATCTCAGAAACTACTGATCTGGGATTTTCATTCACAACAGTCTCTAGAGTTTACAGAGAATGGTGAATAGCTGATGACACATTTTGAGATTTGTTTGGCATAGTATTAAGCAGTCATGAATTACATGAAGAAGGTGCTTTTTAACAATACACAACAAACATCCAGTGAGCAGCAGTCCTGTGGCTGAAAACCCCTTGATAATGAAAGTTCAGAGGAGACTAGACAGACTGGTTCAAGATGACAGGAGGGTGACAGTAACTGAAATAACCACGTGTTACAAGTGTTACATATAAGAGAATCTTTGAACTTACAACATATCAAACCTTGGAGTGGATAGGTTACATCAGCAGAAGATCACATCAGGTTTCCCCTCCTGTCAGCTAAGAACAAGATGCTGAGGCTACAGTGGACACAGGCTCACCAAAACTGGACAGTTGAAGATTAGAAAAATGTCGCCTGGTCTGATGAATCATAATTTTTGCTGCAATATGCACATGGTAGTTCCAGAATTTGGAATATTGTACACCTTTAGGATGTGGTGGAATGGGAGATTCACAGTATGAATGTGCAGCCGACAAGTCAGCAGCAACTGTGTGATGTTATCATGTCAACATGGACCATGATCTCTAAGGAATGTTTCCAGCACCTTGTTGAATCCATGCCATGAAGAATTCAGGTTGTTCTGTGGCAAAGAGGGGGGCCTTACTCGGTACTATAAGGGTGTGCCTAGTAAAGTAGCCACTGAGTGTACTGCATCACACTAGTAAACTTTCAATAGCAATCAGAGCCATGCGTGAGTGCAATTAATACCTCATCAAACCTTGTGAAAGGACGACCACTCAACTTCTTCCTTAGTCGTCCAGGTTTCTGCCTTTCACTGCCACTGGGACCCGCCACCCCAAGCTCACTAGTGTTGTCCTAATTAAAAGTATAAAGACAGAATTAACAGAAATTTTATTCTCAAGTTGCAAATTAATATAATTATGCATATTTTAAATATACAGAGTTTATAAATATGGATCTGTTACAGTACTGTATAAACCAAATGTTGTGTTACATCATCATAGCTTACTGGACTTGGCTATATCAGCAGTGACTTTTCTCAAACAAGCTGAGAATACCATACATGTAGTAAATTTTGCCACAGCACTTCAAAAATCAGTTTAAATATCATGAAATTAATACAGTATTCTGTATTTCATTGATGTTAAATAACATTAAATAAAATTAGGCTGACTCTAGATGCCACTTGGTAACAGAATTTGTCCCTGGTCATTCATCCAATATATTTGGATTTTTCTACACAGTATATGGTCACATAGTGTAGGTGTGATGGGTTTATAACACTTTTTTAGTCAAATTAATCCAAATATTCACAAAAAAATGTGTTTTACAGAGCTGGCTAATACTAAATATAATTAGCTGTCACTCAGTTGTTTAGTGCACATTTACATGTCCACTGCACTTGCTTGCCAGGCATACCAACTGAAAACATTATAATTATCATATACTGATAGGCTTGTGCTTGACTTGTAAAATACAAAGCACCTGAGGAATGACAGGTAATAGGTTTTGATCCGAGGAAGGGAAGGGTTGTTCCAATTCCCTGGATCAAGGACCCTTCTCCAGTAAAAAGCTACCCCCTGAAGGGAACATGGATACTGGATTGTAGTACAGTACTGTGCTAATCTTAGAGTTTAATATCATTTCTATATAATACTGTATATGTTCAACAGGCCAGCAGTAGTGTAGTACATAAGATTGAGTAATAGCTAGTACATTAATGAATTGTGCAGTAGACCGTCGTTTAACACGTAGTTACGTTTCTGGAAATGCCATGTCAGTTAAAAACCATGTTAGAAAAACTGAAGAACTTATGGGAAAAATAGGGTTACATTCCTGGGAGCCCCCAAAAAGCCAAACTACTTTTTTTTTAGACCAACAGATCTTACAAAAATAAAAGTGAATATGTAATTGTAGTTCATTGTCATGATATATTACTGCTTAACCCTTAAACGGTGTAAAGAGATCGACATTCAAATTCGTAGTGCTACAAAAGCAGATCTACTTTTTTTTTACATATTTTCAAATATAACAAAAAAAAATGTAGATAAAAGTTTTTTTACACGTTTTCAAATGTAAAACAAAAAAGAAGATCTACATTTTTTTACATACTTTCAGATGTTGAAAAAACATATATATACGTTTGGACCATTTAAGGGTTAAGACTACAAATGCAATAGAAGTAATAGTATTTCTTACCTTAAATTGTAGGTAATGGTGTTTGTGGATCACTGTGAATATGCATGGAAATGCATGGTGTGGCCCTACTGGGGTGAGGTGGATGGTTGTTGGTGTCGACAAAAGTGGATGGTAGAGGTTCTGGTACTAAAGTCGATGGTTGTATTGGAGTGTGCATAAATTCTGTAATGGATCTCTGGGCTCTTTTACCCTGCAGTACATTATACAGCTGGTCTAGACCCTGTTTCAAAGCACTGCTTCTAGGTTTGTCAGGGTCCTCTTCAGTGAAAAGAGTCTGCAACTTTACCAGTAATATGGAACTGCTCATGCAACTGCTGCAATGTTAACTGTTTTTCTTCAGGTTCTTCTTCATCTTCTTCTGTTATGTGGCTCCCCTGTATCTGTGCATCAACCTCTGCCAACATTTCCTCTGGACTCCTGTCTTCATCATCATCATTTTCTAAGAGCTCATTTACAACTTCATTCACATCATCAAAACCATCACCTGGTAATCTCCTTGCCAGTTGAACAATTTCCTGAACCTGACTCTCAAGCAAGGGAAAACCAGTGAAAGAATTAACTATAGAAGGGCATAACTTTCCCCAGCCTGCATTTAATGTTGATTGGGCACTTCATTCCATGCATTTCTAGCATAACTGATGGCATCTGCAATGTTAAATTTATTCCAGAAATTTGGTACTGCCAGGTTGGAGTCAGAGTCCATTGATGCAACTAGTTTTTTCATAACTTTTTTGTGTAGTTACACTTGAATGACTTAACTCCCAAATCCAGTGGTTGTATTAGAGATGTTGTATTTGGAGGTAAAAATACAACTTTTACATGTGGGGTCACATCCAGCAAAGCTTGTGGATGAGTACGGGAATTATCAAGAATGAAGAGAGCCTTGAATGCAAGGTTCTTGCTGTGCAGGTAAAACTTGACTTCAGGAATAAAGTGATACTTAAACCAGTCAATAAACATTTCCTCTGTCATCCAGGCTGACTGGTTTGATCTCCAAATTACTGGTAAGATGTTTTTATCTATACCTTTCAAAGTACGAGGATTCTTAGAACGGTAAATAACCATGGGCTTACACTTGAAATCACCTGATGCATTACCGCAAAGGAGCAAGGTGACGCGATCCTTTGCTGTCTTGAAGCCTGGTGCACTTGTCTCTTGCTGACTGATATAAGTTCATGCTGGCATTTTTTTCCAAAAAAACACTTGTCTCATCAGCATTAAACACTTGATGTGACTCATAGCTACCCTCAGAAATAATTTCCTGCAATTCAGCAGGGAAATTATTTGCTGCTGTAAGATCAGTTAAGCACCTTTGCCAGAAAACTTATTACATAACAACTTATTATGCAACTTAAAGTTGTGGAACCAGTCTGTGCTAAACATACATTCTTTTTCAGGCCTTCCTTCTAAGCAGTGTGTATCCCGCGGGCAACGCGCGCTCTAAATTTTTTCCCCTCCCACAAACTGGACCGTGTTAAGTTAATTTTATGAAGTGTTATACAAAAATATGCCACAATTCTTCAATAGTTCTATAACCAAAACGTGTCAAACAAAACCATGTTAAACAACAGTCTACTGTACTTCAAACACCAGTGTGAGTTTGAATGGCAAACTGGCTCAGAGGTTGTAGGAATATGCAGCTTCACTGAAAAACACAAGCTCTTTCCAACTAGTAAACTGACCTGTGTCCCAACATGTAATCTTGCACTGGATGGAATAAACCTGATGCTGCCATCTTCCTCCTGACGCTCAATATCCTCTGATATGACTTTCATGGTTGATAGTTACTGCTCTCCATCATCACACTGAAACTAAACTCTACAGTATTACCAGTTTTTAACTTTCATGTGCCCAAATAAGACACAAAGATAAGAACTTGTCAACCATGCAACACTAGTGCCATTAGTACCTCATGCAACACTAGTACCACGATAATCATAACTCCTGGTTATGCAGAGCATTTTGAGAAGCTTAAACCTAAAATATGATTAATGTAACATAAAAGAACATAAACATTTTACATAAATAGCATACAAAGACATCAGAGTTATATATAAAATATATGTAATTCTAATGAATATGACAACAAATATACATGAAGGTAGATTAAAAGTGCAGCAGGAATAGGAATGAGTGGAGACTAATGGTTTTTAATTTTTGATGTGCTTTTGGAGTAAAAACAAGGTAACAAGGGACTTGGGGAAATCAGTTAGCTAGACTGTACAGTGGAACCTCGGTTTTCGTCATTAATTCGTTCCAGAAAGTCTGACGAAAACCAAATTCAACGAAAACTGAAGCAATATTTCCCATAAGAAATACATAATGTAAATCCAATTAATCTGTTCCAGACGCCCAAAAGTATTAACAAAAAATACACTTTATAGAGAATAATTATAGTTTTACATATAGAAAACAATGAGAAACACAGTGAACCCTCCTTTTTCGTAAGCATCGAAATTTGTAATTTTCGCAAATAATAATGCTTTTTTGTCAAAATATTGACTTGCGAATCGTCATTTGACTCACAAATAGTCGTTCGTCCCAAATGCATATGAGTGGCCCGAGTGGCCCCACACACCATTCACAGTCAGTGTGCCATTGTTTATCAGTGAGTGAGGATGATCCCACATGTAGCGCTCCAAACGTAGATCAATGTTTTATTTTCATTCCTTCAAATTTAGCACAATAGGCTTGAGTCGCCTAGACATGAAAGAATGGGTCTGTGCACTCAGTGTGCGCACTATTAAAAAAATCTGGGAGTACTTAGTACCTTGTGGGAGCACCAGTTCAATTGAGCGCCAGCTAGATCAAATAGCGTGGCAAACACCAGGGATTCACTGATGTCATGTCGCATTAACACTCCCATTTTAAGAGGAAAGTAAAAATATGTTAGATAAATACATGAGTAAGTGTGGGTGGGTGTGAGTTGGACCTGACTAGCTTGTGCTATTAGGTCTGATGTCATGCTCCTTCTTTTCATGGATGTGACCTGACTAGGTGGGTCATTGGTCTAAGCCAGGGGGGGAGGGTGACATGTACCTGCCTTGCATGGGCCAGTAGCCCTGCTGCAGTGTTCCTTCTTTCTTATGTATTTGGCAGGCTGGCCGGCTGGCTTGCTTTGGCTGTCTCTGGCTCCCTCTCTATCTATATCTCTATCTGTCTATATCTCTGTCTATCTTATTTCTGTCTCGCATGTACACATAAGTACAGCTATTATACATAGTGTAAATTAACTAGGATAATCCAAGAATTCCAGGCAAAGATAGACAGACAGACAGATAGACAGAAACATGTTTGTGTGTATCAGTTAAAACAAATAAAGCCAGTGTTCCCCCGAGCACCCACTTATCAAATGCCACCGAGCTGATAACAGATGTCATAAAACAATTCTTCAAGGAGTGTGATATACATAGACAGAGACAGATATACATAGACAGAGATAGATAGACAGACAGGCAGACAGATAGATAGGGAGACAGGCATGCTTCAAGGTATGTGCCAGGGTATCTAAAACTTTGCTGGGACCTATAAATATTTTGTATATATTTCTAGACAATAGTAAATAACCCAGGCAGGTGTAAATGTTCACCTGTCAATGTTATTGCGACTATTTGAGCACTATTTCAGTACCTAATATTAGTATCAGAACAAAGATTGACTATGAAATTACAAGAACTATTATAAATAGTAATTATCAGAACATAGAAAATAAATAAATTAAAATAAAAACGAGAAAAAAAGGTATGGCAACACTTCTGCAAGCGGCAGGAGTCAATGTTGCTGACAGGTGAGCATCCAGAGCCAACTTCACGATCTTATATCTCGGTGAGTACTAACCCTAAAAATTTTTTTTAATCTTATAACATGTAGACAAATGTTCTCTTCATTTTAAAAGAAAAAAAAATTATTTTTTCATTTTTCAAAATACAGTGGACCCTCGACCAACGATGGCATCGTCTAACATTAAATCCGACTAGCGATACATTTTAACGCAAAAAATTTTGCCTTGACTAGCGCTAAAAAACTCGACCTGGTGGTTAACGCTCTCGCTTCACATGGTGAGGGCCTGGGTTCGATTCCCAGCCAGAGTAGAAACACTGGATGTGTTTCTTTCCACCTGTTGTCTATGTTCCCCATCAGTAAAATGGGTACCTGAGTGTTAGTCGACTGGTGTGGGTCGCATCCTGGGACACTGACCTAATTTGCCCGAAATGCAGAGCATAACAAGGGACTTTCTATATACAGTGGGCCCCAGCATAACGATCACCTCCGAATGCGACCAATTATGTAAGTGTATTTATGTAAGTGCGTTTGTACGTGTATGTTTCGGGGTCTGAAATGGACTAATCTAATTCACAATATTCCTTATGGGAACAAATTCGGTCAGTACTGGCACCTGAACATACTTCTGGAGTGAAAAAATATCATTAACCGGGGGTCCACTGTAGTAGTATGTCATTGTTATCAGCTAGGACTGTATACCCTGCACATGTACTTGTAGTAAAATAAAGATATTATTATTATTATATTCGAGACGCGTCCACTTGTGGCCAGCGTTTACAAGCCAGCCAGCCACCGCGGTCCCATCCAAACATACAATCGGAACATTTCATATTATCACAGTGTTTTTAGTGACTGCACCTGCAAAATAAGTCACCATGGGCCCCAAGAAAGCTTCTAGTGCCAACCCTACAGCAAAAAGGGTGAGAATTACTATGGATATGAAGAAAGAGATCATTGCTAAGTATGAAAGTGGAGTGCGTGTCTCCGAGCTGGCCAGGTTGTACACAAAACCCCAATCAACCATCGCTACTATTGTGGCCAAGAAAACGGCAATCAAGGAAGCTGTTCTTGCCAAAGGTGCAACTATGTTTTTGAAACTGAGACCGCAAGTGATAGAAGATGTTGAGAGACTGTTACTGGTGTGGATAAACGAAAAACAGATAGCAGGAGATAGCATCTCTCAAGCGATCATATGTGAAAAGGCTAGGAAGTTGCATGACGATTTAATTAGAAAAATGCCTGCAACTAGTGGTGATGTGAATGAATTTAAGGCCAGCAAAGGTTGGTTTGAGAGATTTAAGAATCATAGTGGCATACATAGTGTGATAAGGCATGGTGAGGCTGCCAGTTCGGACCAAAAAGCAGCTGAAAAATATGTGCAGGAATTCAAGGAGTACATAGACAGTGAAGAATTGAAACCTGAACAAGTGTTTAATTGTGACACTGACAATGTTGTCAAACACTTTCGGAATGTCATAAAGGAACAGGAGGTACAGGCCTCTATGGACAGATATGTTATGCAACAGAGGTACAGTGACTCTCAAGCTGGTCCTAGTGGCATTAAAAGAAGGGAAGTAACCCCGGAAATGGACTTGACACCTCAAGTCCTAATGGAAGGGGATTCCTCTTCTAAACACTAATACCATCCACACACTCCCCTCCTCCCATCCCATCAATCATCACCAGATCTTCAATAAAGGTAAGTGTCATGTAATTGTACATGTCTTCTTCAGTTTGTATGTATTAAAATTAATATTTCATGTGGTAAAATTTTTTTTTTCAATACTTTTGTGTGTCTTGCACGGATTAATTTGATTTCCATTATTTCTTATGGGGAAAATTAACTCGACTAACGATAATTTCGATTAACGATGAGCTCTCAGGAACGGATTAATATCATTGGTCGAGGTCGGAGCGCCATGCAAGTGAACGTAGATCTACGTTTGGACAGTTTAAGGGTTAAAGAAAAAGATTGTAGAAAAATACAAAAGTGGTGGTGGTAGTGATAGTGGTAGAGGGTGGTAGTGATGGTGGTAGAGGGTGGTAGTGGTTGTGATGGTGGTAGAGGGTGGTAGTGATGGTGGTAGATGGTGGTAGTGAGGGTGGTAAAGGATGGTGGTGGTTGTGATGGTGGTAGAGGGTGGTAGTAATGGAGATTTGGGCAATGTGGAGTAGGATGGAAAGATCTGTGGAGGGACATCACCCTAACAAAGCTGTTGCAAGCTGTGTGAGCAACATGTACAATGACAAAGTCTTGTCCCATTTTAGGGAAATTTTAAAGAGACACCAGAAACAGAGCTCTCTGAATGGATATTTAGTGCCACAGGTGTGCAGTGACTCTCAAGCTGGTCCTAGTGGCATTAAAAAACAAAGAAGGGAAGTAACCCCAGTAAAGGACTTGGTACAGTAATTTCTTTATCCTCTCCCCTCCTCCCATCTTCCATACACTAAGAAGAATCTTCAATAAAGGCAAGTGTCATGTTATTATTGTTTTATTCTTCATGTCTCATTGTTTTCTGTGTATGTACATCTATATTTCATGTAAAAAAATTATTTTGTTTTAATACTTTTGGGTCTCTGGAATGGATTAATTGGATTTACATTATTTCACGTGGGGAAAATGGTTTCGGAAATCATCAATTTCACCATTAGTCACACGCTTTGGAACCTATTAATTATGAAAAACGAGGGTCCACCGTAAATATAAAGGACTAATGAAATGGATAAATGAACATTTAACATCACTTTTACCTTTATTGAAGACTCTTCTTGGTGTATGGAAGACAGCAAGGAGGGAAGAGGGAGGAGAGGTTATCTCTACCACCATCACTACCACCCTCTACCACCATCACCACCAACACCCTCTACCACCATCACTACCACCCTCTACTACCATCACAACCACTATCACCCTCTACCACCATCACTACCACCATCACTACCACCCTCAACCACCATCACTACCATGCTCTACCACCATCACTACTGCCCTCTACCACCCTCTACTGACGAGAAACAAAGCCAGACTGACTCAGAATGCGCGGGATGCTTTCTGTGAGTGCAGGCAAACATGTTTGGTATGGCGGACCACTGTCAACTCGATGAAAACCAAGGTGATGAATGAAAACTGGGACAAAATTTTGACAAAAAAAAGTCATCAAAAACCGAATTCGACGAAAACCAGGGCAAACGAAAACTGAGGTTCCACTGTACTCTGGAGGGGTGGGATGCTGCAATTAGAGAGTAATCTAAAATGTGATGTCTGCACACTTTTGGAAAGACAGCAACTGAATGAATGATGGTAAATGTTTTCTCCTCTGGGTCATCCTGCCTTGCTGGGAGATGGCCAGCAAGTTAAAAAAAAAAAAATACATTGTTTAGTGAGAGTTATTGACTACTATTTGGTGGAACTCAAACATCAATTTACATTTTGCAATACATATAACCTATGAACACCATGGAATACACTAAGTATTTCTTGTGCAATTTGTTCTTTTAGGAGATACATTATTAGTAAAAATTGTATACTTAATTTGGTTGCTCAGTACATCTCCGCCAATCAATACTGAATACCGAGTCGTATTATTGAATACAAAGACATGCGTGGATCAGAGGCTGGGGTAAGGTCCCATAGCTCAATCGCTAGCGTACTCAGCTCACACACTGAGGTCCAGGGTTTAAATCTCCTCTGGTACGGCTGGAAAACATTAGGAACGTGTTTCCATAAGACACCTGCTGTCCCTGTCCCTGTTCACCCAACAGTTTAAAATAGGTACCTGGGTGTTAGTCGACTGGTGTGGGTCGCATCCTGGGACAAAACTGACCGAATTTGCCCGAAATGCTCTGCATAACAAGGGGCTTTCTATATATAGTAGTATGTCATTGATGTCAGCTAGGCCTGTACACCATGTACATGTACTTGTAGTAAATGAAGGTATTATTATTATTATTATTATTATTATTATTATTATTATTATTATTATTATGTATCCTGAAGAAGTTACATTGTTTTATTAGGGTAGGTGTGATATGATAGGTTTGTTATGTTTCTTACAATTTGCATAACAAAATACTATCCTAACTGCAAAATCAACATAATATGTTGCTGTTCCCACAATACTTATTGGCCGAAATAGGCCTAGTAGCAGTCTGAAATATGGGATTACAGCATATGATGATAATATATGGGAGTACAAAAAAAAAAAAAAAAAAAAAAAAAAAAAAAAAAAAAAGTAATTTCTGATGACAGTTTTCAAGATTTGTTTGGCATAGTATTATGCAGTCATGAATTACATGAAGAAGGTGCTTTTTAACAATGGTTTTAAAGCTGGTGGTCGAGATTGAACCTTTGAAGTCTTCAAGCTTAGAGAAACATTCAAGCATGATCGATGGAAAGATGGTAAATCCAATTCCTTGGATCAATCGACCCTCACCAGGACCACCTTCCAGGAGCTGGAATATTGTACATATGAGTTTCCATATTTTATACTCGTGGAAAACGCTAAACCCATAAGGATCATAAAGTGACAGAGCTTCACCATACATACCCGCATCTGGAACATTACTTCGTGAAAAAATGCATTATTTGAACAAATAAATAGAAATAAGTCACTTTGTCTGACTTTTCCAAGTTATGCCAGGTAAAGTACACTATATAATTGAACTTATGCGTACCTGTGCCTAAATAAACTTACTTAAATAATTAGTGTCTTCTTGTTGTGATTGTAAAGGCCAGAGACAGCTACCTCTCCATGGTGTCCTCTATGTAAGTTTATTCAGGTACTGCTAGTACATATTAATACGTTATATAAAATATCATATATAGCAGCATATGTATCTTTATTTATTTTATCTTTATTTCTATATGTACAAGGTATACAGACCATATCTGACATCAATGACATACTACTGTATAGAAAGTCCCTTGTTATGTTGAGCATTTCGGGTAAATTAGGTCAGTTTTGTCCCAGGATGCGACCCACACCAGTCCACTAACACCCAGGTACCTATTTTACTGTTAGGTGAACATGGATAGCAGGTGTCTTAAGGAAACATGTCCTAATGATTCCACCTGTACCAGGGATCCAAAAATGGACCATGAAGTTTACGTAGGTACCTGAAGTTTACGGGTACACCTAAGTACACTTACACAGATTTAGATAGTAATAGAGTATTAGTAGTCGTAGAGTAGTATTAGACTAGGTAAACAGGAATAGTAGTCCATCTGAAAATAGCAGGTAACCTACTCCCTCACCTGAATTCAGTAATATTCTTCCCACAAAATAATCCGGTAAATAAATATCCGCAGAGCGGAAATGGAGCTGCTGAATGTTGGTACTCGTGTAATGTGTCCAGCGGCATAATAACATGAGGACAAGTGTCCCAGATTGTTGTTCTTAATTCGCCGGTACTCTCCCGGCCCGGGTCTTTTCCCGGCCTCGGCTCCCTGTCTTGGGAGTGTCTGAGACCTATGTTTCCCATGGGAGGAGGTACAAGTACCTCCTCATCTTCGGGACCAACTGTCCGAAGGCCTAGCCTCATTCCCCGCCCTCACGGGACTCGTAGGGAGAAGCAAGGCCTCTGGTCTGCCATCTGCCCCTCCCCAGGTGGGCTCGTGGCAGTGGCAGTGACAGTCTTGTGAGCTGCAGGTGGCAGCAAGCTCCAGCTTTGGCACCTTCCCCGCCCTAAGAGGGCTCGTGGGAGTAGTGTGGCCTTCTCTTTTTAGTGTCCCAGAGAGAACGTGGGGAAATTTGTTACTGATGACTGATGCTCAGGTGATGTTTTATCTCCGTTATGAATGCTAAAGTAGGAAAAACTTTTAGAGAGGGTGTGGTAGGTAAGTTTGGGGTGCCAGGTGTAAATGATAATGGGAGCCCTTTGATTGAACTTTGTATAGAAAGGGGTTTAGTTATAGGTAATACATATTTTAAGAAAAAGAGGATAAATAAGTATACAGGATATGATGTAGGGCGAAATGACAGTAGTTTGTTGGATTATGTATTGGTAGATAAAAGACTGTTGAGTAGACTTCAGGATGTACATGTTTATAGAGGGGCCACAGATATATCAGATCACTTTTTAGTTGTAGCTACACTGAGAGTAAAAGGTAGATGGGATACAAGGAGAATAGAAGCATCAGGGAAGAGAGAGGTGAAGGTTTATAAACTAAAAGAGGAGGCAGTTAGGGTAAGATATAAACAGCTATTGGAGGATAGATGGGCTAATGAGAGCATAGGCAATGGGGTCGAAGAGGTATGGGGTAGGTTTAAAAATGTAGTGTTAGAGTGTTCAGCAGAGTTTGTGGTTACAGGAAAGTGGTGTGCAGGAGGAAAGAGGAGCGATTGGTGGAATGATGATGTAAAGAGAGTAGTAAGGGAGAAAAAGTTAGCATATGAGAAGTTTTTACAAAGTAGAAGTGATGCAAGGAGGGAAGAGTATATGGAGAAAAAGAGAGAAGTTAAGAGAGTGGTGAAGCAATGTAAAAAGAGAGCAAATGAGAGAGTGGGTGAGATGTTATCAACAAATTTTGTTGAAAATAAGAAAAAGTTTTGGAGTGAGATTAACAAGTTAAGGAAGCCTAGAGAACAAATGGATTTGTCAGTTAAAAATAGGAGAGGAGAGTTATTAAATGGAGAGTTAGAGGTATTGAGAAGATGGAGGGAATATTTTGAGGAACTGTTAAATGTTGATGAAGATAGGGAAGCTGTGATTTCGTGTATAGGGCAACATCTTGTAGGAGTGAGGAAGAGCCAGTTGTGAGTGTGGGGGAAGTTCGTGAGGCAGTAGGTAAAATGAAAGGGGGTAAGGCAGCCGGGATTGATGGGATAAAGATAGAAATGTTAAAAGCAGGTGGGGATATAGTTTTGGAGTGGTTGGTGCAATTATTTAATAAATGTATGGAAGAGGGTAAGGTACCTAGGGATTGGCAGAGAGCATGCATAGTTCCTTTGTATAAAGGCAAAGGGGACAAAAGAGAGTGCAAAAATTATAGGGGGATAAGTCTGTTGAGTATACCTGGTAAAGTGTATGGTAGAGTTATTATTAAAAAAATTAAGAGTAAGACGGAGAATAGGATAGCAGATGAACAAGGAGGCTTTAGGAAAGGTAGGGGGTGTGTTGACCAGGTGTTTACAGTGAAACATATAAGTGAACAGTATTTAGATAAGGCTAAAGAGGTTTTTGTGGCATTTATGGATTTGGAAAAGGCGTATGACAGGGTGGATAGGGGGCAATGTGGCAGATGTTGCAGGTGTATGGTGTAGGAGGTAGGTTACTGAAGGCAGTGAAGAGTTTTTACGAGGATAGTGAGGCTCAAGTTAGAGTATGTAGGAAAGAGGGAGATTATTTCTCAGTAAAAGTAGGCCTTAGACAAGGATGTGTGATGTCACCGTGGTTGTTTAATACATTTATAGATGGGGTTGTAAGAGAAGTAAATGCGAGGGTCTTGGCAAAGGGTGGAGTTAAAAGATAAAGAACCACACATAAAGTGGGAGTTGTCACAGTTGCTCTTTGCTGATGACACTGTGCTCTTGGGAGATTCTGCAGAGAAGTTGCAGAGATTGGTGGATGAATTTGGTAGGATATGCAAAAGAAGAAAATTAAAAGTGAATACGGGAAAGAGTAAGGTTATGAGGATAACAAAAAGATTAGGTGATGAAATATTGGATATCAGATTGGAGGGAGAGAGTATGGAGGAGGTGAATGTATTCAGATATTTGGGAGTGGACGTGTCAGCGGATGGGACTATGAAAGATGAGGTGAATCATAGAATTGATGAGGGGAAAAGGGTGAGCGGTGCACTTAGGAGTCTGTGGAGACAACGAACTTTGTCCTTGGAGGCAAAGAGGGGAATGTATGAGAGTATAGTTTTACCAACGCTCTTGTATGGGTGTGAAGCATGGGTGATGAATGCTGCAGCGAGGAGAAGGCTGGAGGCAGTGGAGATGTCATGTCTGAGGGCAATGTGTGGCGTGAATATAATGCAGAGAATTCGTAGTTTGGAAGTTAGGAGGAGGTGCGGGATTACCAAAACTGTTGTCCAGAGGGCTGAGGAAGGGTTGTTGAGGTGGTTCGGACATGTAGAGAGAATGGAGTGAAACAGAATGACTTCAAGAGTGTATGAGTCTGTAGTGGAAGGAAGGCAGGGTAGGAGTCGGCCTAGGAAAGGTTGGAGGGAGGGGGTAAAGGAGGTTTTGTGTGTGAGGGGCTTGGACTTCCAGCAGGCATGCGTGAGTGTGTTTGATAGGAGTGAATGGAGACAAATGGTTTTTAATACTTGACGGGCTGTTGGAGTGTGAGCAAAGTAACATTTATGAAGGGGTTCAGGGAAACCAGCAGGCCGGACTTGAGTCCTGGAGATGGGAAGTACAGTGCCTGCACTCTGAAGGAGGGGTGTTAATGTTACAGTTTAAAAACTGTAGTGTAAAGCACCCTTCTGGCAAGACAGTGATGGAGTGAATGATGGTGAAAGTTTTTCTTTTTTTGGCCACCCTGCCTTGGTGGGAATCGGCCGGTGTGTTAATAATAAAAAAAAATAATAATGTGCGCCGTGAAGGTTCTCTGTACATTTTCTAGGTCAGCAATTTCACCTGCCTTGAAAGGTGCTGTTAGTGTGCAACAATATTCCAGCCTGGATAGAACAAGCGACCTGAAGTGTCATCATGGGCTTGGCATCCCCAGTTTTGAAGGTTCTCATTATCCATCCTGTCGTTTTTCTAGCAGATGCCGATTGATACAATATTATGGTCTTTGAAGGCGAGATGCTCCGACATGATCACTCCCAGGTCTTCGACGTTAGTTTTTTGCTCTATTTTTACTTTTATCCTTCTTTTTTAAGGATTAAAACATTTTGACTGGTGGTAATGAGCTTACATGAAACTTGTGTAAGCTTTAAACCCAAATAACCATTATCTTATTCATGATTTGAATTAAGGGTAAACCGCGAACGCAGGTCCTAAGTAATAAAAATCACACACGATTTAACCACTTCCGGGTTAAGTCAAAGTTAGTTAGTTAAAGATTAGCCGATATTCTCCCGGCCCGGGCCTTTTCCAAGTGGTGGCCCGGCCTTGGCTCCCTCTTTAGGGAGTGTCTGAGACCTAAGTCTCCCATGGGAGGAGGCACAAGTACCTCTTCATCTTTGGGACCAACTGTCCCCAGGCCTAGCCACAAGCTAGGCCTCTCTGGTCTGCCATCCCCGCCCCAAGAAGGCAAATGGGAATGACAGTCTTATGAGCTAAAGGCTCGGCCACCTACCCTACTCTAGAAGGGTTAGGCATGGTATCGATGTTAAGTCACACGACGACTCAGACACTAACCGTCCATGACTGACAACCTGCCATCTTCTATAACACTTTTATGCAAGTTAATAAAATTTTAATCATTATTTTATAATTTAACTTAAACTAAAATAATAAGTAATTATTTGTGTTTATCTTGCAGCAACATAATAAATTATAGCATGATTTTTTTTTATTATTATTATTCGCCGGTACTCTCCCGGCCCGGGTCTTTTCCAAGTAGTGGTGGCCCGGCCTTGGCTCCCTATCTGGGGAGTGTCTCGAGACCGAAGTCTCCCATGGGAGGAGGCACAAGTACCTCCTCATCTCTGGGACCAACTGTCCCCAGGCCTAGCCACAAGCTAGGCCTCTCTGGTCTGCCATCCCCGCCCCAAAGGAGCAAATGGGAATGACAGTCTTATGAGCTAAAAGCTCGGACTCAGGCACCTGCCTTACCCTAGAAGGGTTAGGCATGGTGTCGATGTTACCTAAGCATTAAAAAACGTTTTTATTTATAATATCAAATTTCTCGAGGAAAAAAGTATAATGACGTTATATAATTTTGTTAGTTTATCCCAGATAAAATACATCATAATTCACCAGTATTGTATGAATAAAATAATATATTTTTTTTTTGTGGGCGGCCGGGAGTGCCGGCGAATAAAAAAAAATCACACGAGTGTTATTTATTATGTAAATTCATCATTATTAATTATGTTGTGCCATGGTGCTATTTACATTTTGATTAAATTGGGAAAAATATTTTATATATAGTATATATAGCCTCATCTAATATATCTGAAAAAAAATAGCCTAGAACTTAACTCTTAGACTAACTTAGGTTGAGTTACGTTATTAAGTTTAGGTACAAAAATTATTGTAAAGTAAAAGGACACAAGTGCAACTAATGTGACATTTATTGTGGCAACGTTTCGCTCTCCAGGAGCTTTATCAAGCCATTACAAACAATACATGGACACAGAGGGTATATAAAGGCTCAGAGTGAGGTGAATACTAGTGAGGTACCATTTCGATGTTCACTAGTGGTAGTAGTAGTGGTAGTGACAAAAGCAATTAATTCGTACATGTAAAAGGATATAAAAGCTATTACTATTTTATATCCTTTTACATGTACGAATTAATTGCTTTTGTCACTACCACTACTACTACTACTACTACCACTAGTGAACATCGAAATGGTACCTCACTAGTATTCACCTCACTCTGAGCCTTTATATACCCTCTGTGTCCATGTATTGTGTGTAATGGCTTGATAAAGCTCCTGGAGAGCGAAACGTTGCCACAATAAATGTCACATTAGTTGCACTTGTGTCCTTTTACTTTACATATTGTCGGTAATTCTACCAACTTTATTACACAAAAATTATTATTTGTCCGAATTATTATGACTGAAATTTAATTAATATTAGAGAGTTAACATAATAAATTATTATCTCATTTTGCCAAATATCGATTATACAATTTGTACAGCTAATTATTTTTTGCTGTAGAATTGGATAGGAATATCTTCATAGTTTTATTTAGGATCGACACCATGCCTAGCCCTTCTAGGGCTGAGTACATGATAATATATACCTGGAAAGTACTCGAGGGCTTGGTCCCAAATCTGCACACTGCCATAACAACATACTGGAGTGAGTAATATGGGAGGAAGTGTAAAATAAACCCAGTGAGGAGCAGGGGTGCGGTGGGGACAATAAGGGAACACTGTATCAAGAGGAAACTAGACAAGTATCTTCACCAGGTGCCAGATCAACCAGGCTGTGATGGATATGTGGGGCAGCGGGCCTCCAGCAGCAACAGCCTGGTTGACCAGGCAAGCACCAGACGAGCCTGGCCCATGGCCGGGCTCAGAGAGTAGATATACTCTCGAAATTCTTCAAAGGGTAGGTGCCTGAGCCCGAGCTTACAGCTCACAAGACTGTCATTCTCATTAGCCCCCCTTGAGGCGGGGATGGCAGACCAGAGAGGCCTAGCTTGTGGCTAGGCCTGGGGACAGTTGGTCCCCAAGATGAGGAGGTACTTGTACCTCCTCCCATGGAAGACTTAGGTCTCAGACGCTCCCTAAAGAGGGAGTCAAGGCCGGGCCACCACTTGGAAAAGGCCCGGGCCGGGAGAATACCGGCGAATCTTTAATAATAATAATAATAATAATAATAATAATAATAATAATAATAATAATAATAATAATAATAATAATAATAATAATGTTTTATTTAACTGGGTGGACCAGTGGAAGCCAAGGCCGGGTCACCACTATTGGAAAAGACCCGGGCCGGGAGAATACCGGTGAAAATAAAAAAAAAAAATTTTATTTGGAATATTAATAACAGAAAGACACACTACCGTGACTGGAACAATGTACAAATAACACGCACAAAGGAGAGGACAACTGACCACGACGTGTCAGTCCAACTTGAACCATTTAGTCACACCTGTAATAACCCGGAAGGTTAGTAACCCAGTACAATCCAAGGAAGCCACCCAGTATGGTTTTAAAACGTTCAATGGTGTCCTTATGCATCTCACAACAGTTGGCTAACACCCTGGTAAGAGAGACAAGATTTTTAACCCCGGAGGGTTAGTTACCAGGATAACTCAGGGAAGTCAATGCGCCACCATGGGACTGTCTTATTTCTATTGTGGTCCTCAATCTTGTCCCCAGGATGCGACCCACACCGGTCGACTAGCACCCAGGTACCTACTTGCTTGCTAGGTGAATGGGGCAGCAGGTGTAAGGAAACACGCCCAATTTTCATCCTTGCCGGTGATCAAACCACGAACACAACGTGTGAAGCGAGAACGTTGCCTACCAGGCCACGGGACACTTAACCTACTTACTGCTAGGTGGACAGGGGCAACAAACAGGTAATGAAGCTCTCCCAAATTACTACCTGCAAAATAAATGTTTTGTTTCCTTATAGATGCTGTTTTTAACGTAGGTTAGTCCAAACCAATGCAAGAAAATCCGAGAATATTTTTTATTCATCTTTATTTCTACAAGTACATGATACATCTGTTACATACCTAGCTGTATTATTGGCATACTCTACAGAAAGCCCCTAGTTATACTCGAAATTCAGATATGCAACACGTTTAATTTTTTCCATAGGTTATTAATTAACCTTATCTGCTCTAAAATTCAAGTAAAATGTGGAGTATCAAATTCACCAATACTTAAATTAATGTGAGAATCGTGAGAATGATGTACATAGCCTATGTTAGGTCCTTAATTGATTATGCTGCTCCCATGTTGATATTAGCTAGAGAAAGTTCCCTCCGACCCTTGGAGTTAATGCAAAATGAAGCTCTCAGGACTATTCTTGGCTGTCCCAGATCTACAAAAGTTCTTAACATGAGGAAGGAGCTTGGTATTTCTAGAATTAGTGATAGGATTGTTGAAATTAACACTGTACTCGGTATTAGAATGTTGAGAAACGAACCAGACACTGTCACAGTGAATCTTACCAGTGTCTGGAGGTAAATACACACAGATCTAAATGGATTGTGAAAACGTGCAATTGCATTAAGTTTTATAACCTGCATGAACTGTATCACTGTAGGCAACAAGAGCATTTCACCCCTCCATGGAAGATGTGTTCATTTAATATCACATACCTACAAGTCCCTCCCAAGAAGCTCATTGCTAGTAATCCCTTCCTTAAATCTCTTGTTAGAGCAACTGCTCAAGAAGAAATTTTTCGCCTAGCTGGTAGTAATAAGTTATCACAAGTTATATACACTGATGGATCTAAACAGGAGTCTTCTGGCAGGGCTGCATCTGCTCTTGTTGCCACCTCCCTAGTTAAGAACGATAATAAATTTGTTGAGTTAGGCATAAGAATTAACAACTGGGCGTCTACACTGCAAACTGAATTGTTTGCAATCCTAATGGCGCTAAAGCTAACCTATGACACTGAGCTTGACTCTATCATCATTACTGATTTTATGTCATCATTGAAGGCTCTTGGCTCATATAATGACTCCAACAACATGCTCATTGGGGAAGCCAGGTATAGATACTCAAAAATTAGGGACAAAGGAATTAATGTACAATTGCTATGGATCCCATCACACATTGGATTACTCCTTCATGATAAAGTTGATATGTTAGCCAAGAAGAGTATCCAGAAGGAGAACGTAGAATATAACTTTGGTATAACTGTGTCTAGCATTAGGAATAATATTAGGAGAGAAGTAAATAATGAAGATGATTGTTATAGGAATGCAGTTAGAAGCCTGAGTAGATCTATAACCCACTATGATAACATGAATGTAGATAAGTATGTTTATGGAGCAACTTGCAATGTGAACAGACTGACTGATGTTGTAGTGGCCAGGCTTAGGCTTGGTTACAAGTACTTCTGGCAGTTTGGGAGACACACAGATGATGATCAAACTAAATGTAAATTATGTGATCAGGCATATGGTCACTCTCTTGAACACTATGTGCTTAATTGTCCACTTATTGAGGAATACAGAGACAGACAGTATAATAACCTATGTGACATGTCAAGATATCTTATTAATGAAAATAAGATACCAGATATACTAAGCAAATTTCCTAAATTTGCTTGTAACAGATAAGTGAACTATAGATATGTAGATATAAATCCATATGTATTCCTGTTAACCCTTTGGGGCCTAGTTCCTAGGCCTTTTGTGTATCCATATGCTCTCGCGCTACCGTCCACAGGATGGATATGGGGTGCACAATAAACTAGCCACTTCGGTGGCAAAATCTAAAATCAATACTTAAACCATTATAGCATAATAAATTCCTTTGTTTACACAGTTGAGTTTACAGAATAAGAGTTGTTATCCATATCTCATTTCAAAACCAAGGCCTATCCAAGGTAACACCCCCAGGATGCAACCCACAAGTTTGCTAGGTGAATAAGGGCAATATCTTTATTATGCACCCCATACCTATCCAATAGATATAAAGAAATATGTCCAATGTTTCCACCCGTGTCGGGGATTAAATAAGATAAGTTTTATTAAGGAAAATCTACAAATGGTTCTTCAAACAGTGGTATGAATTTGTACAGTTGCTCGGAGGGCACAGAGATTCTAAGGGCATAACCCAATAAAATTAAGCAACAGTTAGCTAAGAGTAGTAATGCCCAGTTCCTAGTACCACAATCTTTGGTAAATAATTATAATCACATCAAATGTATATTAAAAAAAAAAAATAGGCAGGTGTAGACTACTGAATTTCCCCTGCTAATGGAAAGCACATAGTTTGTGGCACCAAATTTGCTCTTCGTGTAAATGAGTCTGTTTCCCGGATTTCAGTAACTATAATATTAATTAAGTTACAGAATTTAAAGAAAAAATATAATTTGTGACAAGAGGATATAAATTATGCTTTTTTAGTATCCCAAGAAGCAATTAGTGACCCATACGAGTTTTGCGAGTTTATATATGTGTAATCATTATTGATCATTCCAGAGTGTCCTGGCACTGACTGTTCACTAGCGTTTATGTCTGGCGATTACCAGACAGAAGAGCCTCAACCACTCTTTTTGGGCGAGGTTAGAGGTGCAGGAGTGCCAGCTCCAATTCTCAGAGAGTAATGGAGCAGTGTGGGTAGAGCTCTATGCAGTTGTAACCTTTTCTGCCGGCCCTCATGGCTTCCAGGTTGCGGGAGAGAGGAGCTTCGTGTAGCAGGAAGGAGACGGCGAACCCGCTGATGTAGGTGACGAAGGAATCCAGCAGTCCTCGGCTCACCGCTTGCTGGTTACTTTCACACAGTAGCCGCTCTCCGCAGTCAGGGCTCTCATCTCTGTGGAGAAAGAAAGGGATTGGTGGAACTGATGGAGGGACTAGTGGTGGAAGAACTGGAGTGTAGAAATGGTTCAGAGAACCGACAAGTTGATAAATTAGACACATGTGCAACATTTGGGTATCTTTATTGAGGAAACGTTTCGCCACACAGTGGCTTCATCAGTCCTATACAAAGAAGAATGGTAAAGAACAGGAGTTTGAGGTAATCAGTCCCTCAGCCTTGAGTCGATGTAATCAGTCCATTAATAAAGATACTCAAGTGTTGCACATGTGTCTAATTTATCAAGAACTGCAGTTTATACCTAGAGAGGGTTTTGGGGGTCATTGCCCCCACGGTCTGGTCAGTGTGGTGATAGTGAACAAACTGGAATGTGGTGGTAGTGGAAAAACTGGAGTGGTGGTAATGGAAATACTCGAGTATGGTGGTAGTGGAAAAACTGGAGTGTGGTGATAGTGGAAAAACTGGAATGTGGTGGTAGTGGAAATACTGGAGTGTGGTGACGAAGGGACTAGTTAGTTAGTTTAATATGTTTATTATGCACCCCATACCCTAGCGAACAGATTTGTGAATTTGTGAACAGTGGGACTTGTGACAGGTTAGTGGTGGTGAAAAGACTGGTAATATTTGGTGAGAGTTGTGATGGTTGTAGTAATATGAGAGTTTGCATTATTGGACAGGAGTATTATGGGTGATGATGGACAGGTAGTGTAGTGCTAGAGGGACCGGTGTTATGATGGGGAGTATTAGACAGGAGTAGCTCATAGTGACAGTGTAGGAACTGATGATGGTATCTCTGATGATAATCTAGACCGGATTTAACACTTTTTACTCATCTATATATATTTTTCTTAATATCCGTTAATGGCTACGGGGATCATCACTATTGCGGCCGGTCTCAGATCAGGGCTCCTAAATTGGAAAAAAAAAATCACAGATATAAGGAATATTAGGAACCCCACACATGAAAGTAAAGACGTGTGTATACTTAATATAGGGGAAAAATTGGAAGATTTACTTGCTATCTTATAAGCTCATGAGTCAAAAAAAAAAAATCAGCAATCCTGCCTGAGTGTAAAACATTAAGCAGGTTTCTTTAATAATAATAGAGGAATAATGGCGATGTTATTCTTAGTATGAGAGAATCAGGAATATTTTCTTGGCTTTGTACCTTAGTATGGCTAGTCACTCCTGCACAATACGTCATAGACCCGGGCCAGAAGAGTACTGGTGAATCAAGAACAAACAACAAACATATATCATGTATTTTTAAGCATATGATCTCCACGCAATGCACTTAAAACGGAAGTTAAGAACATAACCACTCTGTTGATAAATTAGACACATGTTGCACATGTCTAATTTATCAACATGTCGGTTCTCTGAACCATTCATCTACATAACCACTCTACAGAAAGTTGTGACGAAAATAGTTAAATATGTGAATTTATTGGCAATTTCTCTTTAAAATGAGAAGTTTTTAATGTAAGGCAATATTTAAACATGTGCAAAAGAGGATTTATACACCGACAGGTGTATATCTTTCAGTGTGTATACCCAAGTATATTATAATCCCTTGTCAGAGATTATTCTTGAGTGTTAGTGTACAGAGTGTAAACAGCCATTTACAGATGTATCCAAAGAGGAGAGGGTCACCTTATTGACTAATACGTCCAGTTTAAGAGAAGTAAAAAAAGGGAATAAGGAAAGTAAAAATAAAAGAATATGTAATTAAGGTTGTGAGGGAATCAAAAAGAACGACTCTTGCAAGGTATTCAAAAACAACAACTCAGAAGGTTACTTTCAGGTATAGAGGCATAATATTAAGAAAAATATGAGCCGACTCATATAACTCAGGTTAACTTACCATTAGTGACAAAAAAAAATGTGTACCATTTTTAATACTTATTTCCTTCTTTTTTTACACAAAAGGATACAAATAAAATCCCGGAGATTAGTAATTATACAGGTCATTATGAGAATAAATTAGGCAAAAATCAGTCACTAGCGACGTGGTCCTCTGGCAACTTGATACACTGAAACCAAACAAGTCACGTGACCCTGACGAACTATTTTCAAAGGGTTCTAGAGGAATACAAAGAGGAACTTAGCAAACCATTAGTGAGTTTCTTCAACAGCTCGATTGCTAGCGCACTCAGCCCATACACTGAGATCCAGGGTTCGATTCCCGGTACAGATGGAAACATTAGGACGTGTTTCCTTAAGACACCTGCAGTCCTTGTTTACTTATCAGTAAAATATGCACGTGGATGTTAGTCGATTGGTGTGTCGTATCCTGGGGACAAAATTGACCTAATTTGCCCGAAATGCTCTGCATAACAAGAAGCTTTCTGTATAGTAATATGTCATTGATGTGAGCTAGGCCTGTATACCTTGTACGTGTACTTGTAAAAATAAAGATAATTATTATTATTATTACAAACAGGTATCGTACCAGATTAGTGGAAAGTGGCAAATGTGATACCCATTTACAAGCTTCAAATTATAGACCAATCAACCTATCCTCAACTGTGGGAAAATTGATGGAATCAATAACAAAAGAATGGAGGTACATTGCAGCAGGCCTACTAGCCCATACTAGACAGGCTCTTCTCAAAATCGACTACCCCCCGCCCACCAATGAATGTAATTAAAAGCCGCCTTAAAATATATAATTTGATCACCAAATTTCAACATGGTGCTACCATGTTGAAATTCAGTGGACTTGACTAGCTTGGCCCACTAGACCTAGTGAAGTGTTCCTTCATTATGTGAATTGCGCTTCAATGACCCACGTCATTACCGGATGGTAACGACTAACTACTAACCTGTAGAGATAAATGGTGATCGTATTCAAGACGATCTCAGCCAGATTATTGAGGTTGTCACCGAAGAGCCCCAAGCCAGGCAGAATAGCGACCCTGGCCTGGGCAGTGTCACCGTCACCTCCCATCTTCATCATACCGGTGCTCCCAAACATGGAGTCTCTCAGCACGTCGAAGAGTTTCACTCCGAAGGCGAGGAAGGCAATCGACGTGATGGACTGACTGCTAGAAGGTAACCTGGAGAATTGAGCAGTGTAAGTAGCTAATCGCTGCAACAAAACTACTAATAGAAAGGGAGGGATATAATTTATTTATGAATAATACTGTATGTCATCAATAAAGTCTTACAATTATAGAGGGTTACACATTGTGTCTCTTTCACAAAAAATAGCATGAATTACAAACAACTTTGGATTTGTCTTATATGATGATTTATGCATCTTCTTGCTTCACTTCTGCTACTTTTGACCAAACTAACCCTCCACCGCGCATATACCCAGGTACCCAAGGGTAGTAGTGTATCTATATGCAGAAAACCACTATGAGAAACAATGAAAAGGAAATTAGATTTTATACTCTATATAAAAGAATTTTCAACTACAAGAAAACAGTGCAAAATAAAACGTTAAAATTACAGGTTAGGTTAGGTTAGGTTTGTCAGGAAACAGGACGTTGGAGTTTTTGGTCATCTGACCGAGGCCTTCCCCTGGCTGACATCGTTGTTTACTAAAACAAGAAGATTGAGGTAGTGAGGGCTGGTCACTTCGGTTTTATTCCGAAGTAATATTACTCTACTCACTGCTTGGCTTCCTTCATGATCCTCTGCACGAGTCTGTCTCTGATGGCGCGCATCTTGTCTCCTGGTGATTTCAGTTCCAGGAACCTCTTAGTGGACGCTCCAGCCCCGCCGACCTGCCATGACGACCTGCAAAATTGTGTGATGCCTTCCTGCGTCAGGTGCGTCATTTTATCATCACTAACCAAGTATAAAGCTGTCACCGTAACTATTATAGTGTGTTGGAACGTCCATCACTTAACTATATATACTGTGTCAGAGCTAGGATTATATGCTAATATTAACACCATCGGTTATCCAATACATCAGTGACCACTTATTTAATCACTGTATCCTTAAGACATCTGCTCTCCCTGTTCACCTAGCAGTAAATAGGTACCTGGGTGTTAGCCGACTGGTATGGGCCGCATCCTGAGGACAAAATTAACCTAATTTGTCCGAAATGTTTTGCATAACCAGGGGCTTTCTGTGTAGTATGTCATAGATGTCAGCTAGGTCTGTATATGTATTCGTTGTTGTTCTAGATTCGCCCATACTCTCCCTGCCCCGCACTTGTAAAAAAATATTTATTATTATTATTATTATTAATGGGCTACCTACATTATAAGTTATAACTATAATCTGCTGTGAAATTAGACTCCCATAGTATATGTTGATAATGCACCATCATCTTTACCTTTGTAACTTGCCATGATTGTGACCAGATCTACCTGGAGTTCATTACCTTTGTAACTAGTTCAGCTATCATAACTTCGGAGTCCAGTCCCTGGACCCATTATGTACCTCTGTAATCTTTTGACTACCGCCCACAGGATGGGTATGGGGTGCATAATAAACATATTAAACTAAAAACTAACTATAAACAAATATTAATGTCACAAACGAATCCACATGGATGAACTAAAACCCAGGTGCAACAAACGAGAAAAAGCATCAGTTAAGACAGAGAGAGGATTCCTTGAGCTTCCCCAGCACTCGGGTTGCAGCCCAAAGCTGGGCAGTGGCTCCAAAAGGATCCTGTAGTGCTTTCTGTCTTTCCACTTCATGACAGTTGCTGCTACGTAGCTGCCACACTCTTCGAGCCCCATGGGGCGGGGTAAGTGGCAGTCCAAGATCCTAGCTTCTCCCTACGATCCCCGTGAGGACGGGGAATGTGGCTAGGATTAAGGACAAATGGTCCCAAGAGATGAAGTGGTACAAACATCTCTTCCCACGGAAAACATTATGAATGTCAAGACTCCTCCAGTGTGGAGCCAAGACCGGGTCACCAACTGGTAAAGACCCGTGCAGCGTGATACTGCGAATCTTTACCAATAACCAACCTACTAAAACCCACATGGATCTACTAAACCTCACATGAATCTACTGTAACCCAAATGGATCTATTATCTACATGGATCAAGTAAAACCCAAATGGATCAAATAAAATATATGAGTACCTATACATCTATACCTGCTACTGAGGCCAAAATATACACTCTTATATTTTGCTTTATTTTATTCATGCGGAGTCGTTGATGCCATTGACAAATGTTTATTACAATTTTTGTGGCCATATGTCTTTTACTCATTATAGTCATACCAACATTGTTAAAAAAGTAAGTAATGTTAACGATATTGCCACTGCTGGTACTTATCAGTACCTCTACTGCTAAAACTATTGTTATCATCACCGGTATTTCTGCTAGTGCTACTTACTGCTACTGTTATCAGTGTTGCCGTCATTACTATAATGCTGCAATGGTTCACTACAAACACGACAGCATCCACTCCTATTTTCTCAGTGTAAAAGCACTGATGGGCACTTACCACACCTGGGTAACATGGTCCGGCAGACTTTCACGCATTAGCATCTCTGGTCGTCCTGACAGCTTCGACAGCTTAGCCTGGGTCAACCAAGTACTTTATTTACCTTTAATCTGTACAATATTTTAAGTGCTATATATATGCAAATTGCATTTTAATTCCTGCCGTTAAACTGCATTGTGTTTACCTGCAGAGCTCTGAGCCTCTCTCCAGCCTCGGGCAGCGTCTTGGCTACACCTCCACCTTCACTCACCATCATGCCTACACACACCCATGTTGCCCATGCCAAAATCAAATATGTCACGCGCATCCTGTAGGGAAGAATGTAATTTCTCAAGTCAACTGATGTGAAGTGATATATTTTCAACACTAAAGATGACACGGACTGAAAAGTTACTTTATAATTCATCATCGGATGGTTTTTATATTTAATAAGTAGAAGTAACTAAGTAGGTAAGTAAAGTAGTACAATATAAGATACATATATGTATTACATACACACACACACACGACCTTTGAAGAGGCGAGGCCAAGAGCTGTGAATCGACCACTGTATTCACAATTTGATGAATACAATTAGGTGAGTATATACACACTGTATATAAGAGGAAGATAAGTCTTAGAAATACAGTGTGTTGTAAGCACAAGCGTTTTTATGATGGTGTATGTGCACTGGTGTGCATGGGTGGATTCACACAGACACATGTTAGTATGGGTGAGTGCACACACTCCTCATGTAAGAAAGATTAATTTATTCACCAGGAGAAATGAGAAAATATCTCCTGATGCTAGTCTCAGTCACATAATCCGTTCACCGGAGCTTTTGATCTTTTGACCGAGGCCTTCCGCTGGCTTACCGGTCCACTCTGTTAAAAATTAATTTGTTACATTAAATGTTGTGTATATGTGTATGTGACGTCCTTTTCCCCGGTAGTGCACTTCACGCCTACACTCAATCTTCCCATCACACGATCAGCTTAGCACACTGACATGAACTTAGAATCCTCATGCTGTTAGTCTCGCCATCTAATTATATTTACACTCTACATCTTATCGTTTTCTTTTTTTGTTAAAACAGCTACCAGCAAATTACAAATGATAATTCCTGGTAAACAACGATTGACTTTTAATCGATATGGCGTTCAGTAGACTCCTCCTGCAGGGAACCATCCTTAAAATATGTGGTTGCAGGGGTCGATTCACAACTCCTGGCCCCGCCTCTTCGCTGGTCGCTACTAGATCCACTCTTCCTGTTCTCAGAGCCTTGTCGTACCTCTCCTTAAAGCTATACATGGATCCAGCCTCCACTACATCACTCCCCAGACTGTTCCACTTTTTGACAACTCTGGTGCTGAAGAAATACTTCATAACATCCCTGACTCAACTGGGTTTTCAGCTTCCAGGTGTGGCCCCTTATTCCTGTGTCCCATTTTAGAGATATTCGGTCCCTATCCACATTGACAATCCCTCTCAGTATTTTATACGTCGTTATCATGTACCCCCCCTATCCTCCCTTCCCTCCAATGTCTGCAGGTTGAGTTCCCTTAACCTCTCCTTATAAGACATACTCCTTAGCTCCGGGACTAGTCTTCTCCAATAAATTCGCCCTTCGGAGCAAAATCAAATAAATCTTTGACATAACTTTTCTTAGAATAGTCACAAGTACTTATCTAACGTCATCTTCCTCAAACAAAAACAATTAATATTTATCCATGTGTAATAATATAAAAATGCGTCTTACCTCTCTAAAGCACTGTCTTGGGAAGGAACTTCGAGAAGTACCAGACAGTAATGAAGGTGCAGCTAGACTGAGCCCCTCAGGTTGGTCCACACGGGCCAGAACACACGCCCATCTTGCCTCTCATAGGATGAACAACGAATACTTTGCCTTTATAAACTTTCTCAATAACACAAACAGTAATGTTCCAATGTAGCATTACCAGGGTTGACCTTTGATAACGTTAAGTGAATCTGATTTTAAATAAAATCATCATGGTTTTGCTCTCAAGCAGCACTGAGCTTCATTACTGTTGCTACTAGAGGAAACAATAAAAATCCGCTATTTTCCTCTGGTTGTGAGCGCCGTTACTTGAGTAAGTTACACCAACACCGCCATCACACCAGACTCCACTATATAATGTGTATTTTGTGCTCTGGTGGCTGTGTGGAACCTTGAACAAGGTGAACCAGTAAATAATTTTTTTTATCACCAATTTTGTTTTTAAATTTCATGAGAAAATAATTAATAGAACTCACGGGAATGTGGTGGTGACTTTCCCAAGATTTTTCCACAAATTCTAATCAAGTATGGTGGTAACAACGTGATAAATATCTTTGTTTAATTACATTGGACAGTTTAGCATGATGAATAATGTATATGATGGTTTGAAAAAAAATTGTACACTTTATATGATCAGATTTTAATAGAATAACAATTATTTCTTTCAAGACGCTTAAATAAATTTCGTATACCACACACACACACACCACACACACACACACACACACACACAACACACACCACACACACACACACACACCCCCACACAAACACACCACACACACACACACACACACACACACACTCACACAACACACACCACACATATATATTATATATTATATATATATATTTATACATTATATGTCGTGCCGGAATAGGCAAAAACTTGCGATCTTGGCTTAAAAAAGCAAAAGTTCATCTTGCCATATAGGACAAGTAAAAATTTGTGTATGCATTAATTTTGCCAAAATCATTCTGAATCTAACAAAAAAAATATTTTTCACTGTGTTTGCTTAGTATTAAATTATTGTAAACAAATCTAAAATATATATAGTTGGGTTAGGCTAAAATAAATTGTTCTTGTTATAATAAGGTTAGGTAAGTTTTCTAAGATTCTTTTGGTGCAAAAGTAAATTTTTTTACACTACCATTAATGAAAAAAATATATCCTTAAACGTATAAGAGGAAATTTTAGAAAGGACTTAATTTTAAATGAGTTCTTGCTAATTGACCAGTTTTACATATTCGGCACGACATATATATATATATATATATATATATATATATATATATATATATATATATATATATATATATATATATATATATATATATATACGCGTGTGTGTGTATGAGAAAGAGTTGTAACATGGGTATAGCAAAAGCAGCAGAAGAGGAGCAACAGCAGCAGCAACAACAGGAGGAGCAACAGGAAGATGAGCAACAACAGGAGGAGTAACAACGACAACAAGAAGAGGAGCATCAACAACAGGAGGAGTAACAGCGACAACAGGAAGAGGCACAACAGCAGTTAGAAGTCATTGCTACCAGCAGGTAACGGACTAACTCATCCATCACTGGTCCGCGTAGCTACAGCTTCCTAATACATCTAAATTTATCTAATAACCAATGTTTTATTAATGGTAAACTTTATTCTCCACGTTTTTATTTAACATACAGCGCCCTTCTTAGTTCCACCATATTCAGAGCACTTAGTTAGGGAGGTTCATTGATTTTAAAGCCTATTGACAACACGAGGCACATTATTCCACTTTATTTACTCAAAATTAAATATAAATCATACATTAATTTATGTTTTATTTTCATATATGAACTGGTAGATTTTTACAAAGGGCTTTTGGACGAACTATTACCAGGTTGTGTCTTGCCAGACACTATATCTTCAGTACTTCAAGAAGCACCAGTGTAAGACTACCAGGTTGTGTCTTGCCAGACACTATATCTTCAGTACTTCAAGAAGCAGCAGTGTAAGACTACCAGGTTGTGTCTTGCAAGACACTATATCTTCAGTACTTCAAGAAGCAGCAGTGTAAGACTACCAGGTTGTGTCTTGCCAGACACTATATCTTCAGTACTTCAAGAAGCAGCAGTGTAAGACTACCAGGTTGTGTCTTGCAAGATACTATATTTTCAGTACTTCAAGAAGCACCAGTGTAAGACTACCAGGTTGTATCTTGCCAGACACTATATCTTCAGTACTTCAAGAAGCACCAGTGTAAGACTACCAGGTTGTGTCTTGCCAGACACTATATCTTCAGTACTTCAAGAAGCAGCAGTGTAAGACTACCAGGTTGTATCTTGCCAGACACTATATCTTCAGTACTTCAAGAAGCACCAGTGTAAGACTATCAGGTTGTGTCTTGCAAGACACTATATCTTCAGTACTTTGAGCAACATTAGGTCGGTATTAGCCAGACACAGGCGTGCCTCGTTGTGCTCCGCGTTTTCGGGTGTTTTCACGGTCGCTCTTACGTGCTAGAACTTTAATTTGTGTCATCAATCCTATACGATACATCCCTCTAGCGCCTGGAACCAATCTTGGGCGGAAAACATTATATACTGAGTCAAAAAAGGAGAATTAGTGTGCATACCTAGCAGAGTTTACTGCCAGAGGGGAATCATAGGCCTGTCCCGTGTGAAAAAATAATAATTGAACTTTGTGTCAGAGGAAAGAAAGTCTCCCTGATAACATTGAGTATACATAGTGTATAGTGTATACTATAGTGGCTCCCTAGTATATTGATGATAAAGGCTAAAGTGTCATTTGAAAACAGGTGAATTTGTAAATGAAGTGATAAGCCTATAGAGGCAGGTGCCAGAAGTCGCCAGAATCTTACCACAGGTCAGCTGTTTTTAATAATCTTCCTGGCCTGCTAGTGTACTCGCATATAATCTAGTGATACCAGTGAATAGCAGAATACAGTGCTGTAGTAGCAACTAACCAGTATTATAATGGTACTTAGTGGAGTGGAGTGACTTTCATTAGTTTCTTTTTCTTGAAATACCAGACGTTACTGTGAATTTCATATAACCTGTAGTTACCAGCGGTCGCAATATACACAACGAGAAGCAATTATTACTACAGAAAAAGCGTCCTTCCTCCAAAATTTGCACCAGTCAACTATAGTGATAATATAGCATTTATTGTGGTGGAGACGGAAAAAAAAAATAGAGAAGCTAGATACAGCGATTGATAAACAAGGGTGGAGGTCGACCGTTCGTCATTGTAGGAGTGCCAGCAGTCACCGGCTCTTCAACACGCAAGTTATACTTTGTATTAATCAAATCACATATTACTCGGGTAGATAATTTCCAGTAGATCCTTCATGTGTTAGCTCAAATCACCGACCAGTATGTTTTAAATAAGTGACCCACTGCTCAGATCAGATAGACTGGTCCGAACCCTTGACTGGTCCGAACCCTTAACTGGTCCGAACCCTTGACTGGTCCGAACCCTTGACTGGTCCGAACCCTTGACTGGTCCGAACCCTTGACTGGTCCGAACCCTGGACTGGTTTCAAACGGTTTCGTGCACTACCTAGCAGGTTATTAATAGAATTTTCAAGAGGTTGCTAGTAGAATTGCAGTAAATCAACCATTCAAATCATTATGAAGCTGTGTGTAGTCTGTGGTCAGTCAAACAAACGGGCTTCCACATGCATAAATTGTCATTTTTGTGGAAATTGGTGTCACGCCCCTTGTGCAGATATCCAAGAACTAGCTACAAGCAGTATTAAAACAGGGAAGTGTTTTTGGGTATGCCCAAATGAGATAAATCTGTGGACTAAAATCACAAGGGTATTAAAAGAGGTCAACATCAAAGCTGCTTTCATAGAAAACCTGGAAGCTTTCTACAACAGATGGGAACATAAAAAGTCTGGGCTGAATGGTACTGCCCTTGATACTGGCCATGTAGTCAGAAACTGTAAGGCTGGAGATGATGTCCTGGTAGTCAGTAAATGGGGGGCTGATAGTGCTGTCCTGGGAGACAGTAATGGTGAAGCTGGAGGTGCTGTCCTGGGAGACAGTAATGGTGAAGCTGGAGGTGCTGTCCTGGGAGACAGTAATGGTGAAGCTGGAGATGCTGTCCTGGGAGACAGTAATGGGGAAGCTGGAGATGCTGTCCTGGGAGACAGTAATGGTGAAGCTGGAGATTTTGTCCAGGTAGTCGGGAATTATATGCAGGAAGGAATACATATAAATGACCTCATAGGGGACAGGAGCCATAGTAGGGAAACAAGTGTAGTCAAAGATAAGATAAAACCAATATTGCAAACTAGAAATACCGCAGGAAATAGCAAACAAGAGGACTCCACTAGCAATAGTGAGGATATATTACCAAAAACAACTGGTGGGAGCTCCATTGTTGGTGCTAGGGAGGATAGAAGTAAGACAGGGAAACATGCACCAACAGGGAATACAGTCACAGAAACCCAAGGCAAACGGAAACCAAGCCTGTGCACATACTATGCACTCGGTATCTACTGGCATGGGAAATCTGGAAAAACAGATGGGACGTGCAACTATGACCACCCTAGAAAATGCCATACCCATATGACAACAGGAAAATGCAAACTCCCTTCCTCTAAGCTTTTTCACCCTGAACTGTGTACCTCTTCAGTACAGGAAAGACTGTCCTATAACTTAAATTGCCAGGCATACCATCTAAAGGGGACAAAAAGATACAAAACATCCAGGCCATGGGAAAACCTGGGTAGCCACAGCCACTCAAGAAGGAGAGGTTTTTTAGTGCCAGGAAGGAAAAAAAACTGGCAGGAAATGGCAGAAATGTACACCAAATCCAGTCATTCCTGGAGTGGAACCACAGTCGATGGCCTCCACTCCAAACCAACAGATACAGATACTAATGCCGGAAAAAAAATCCCCCCCCCCAGTACCAACAATACCACCAGTCCGATAACATTCTTCTTTGCAAATATACAGGGTCTAAAGCCAGCAACAAACAACAAAATACCTTTCATCCGTGGACTGCTCGCAGAGGCAAAGGCAATGTTCGCGGCTTTCACTGAGACCCACATAAAGGATCACTTGGACAACGAAATATGGATCCCAGGTTACAACCTATACAGATGTGACAGAGTGAACAGGCAAAAGGGGGGGGGTTGGCCTGTACATTGCAGAGTCACTTGTTTGCACAGAACTGCTAAATGCCTCAAATTTATGTAGTGGAAGTTTTAGCAGTAAAGGTCGAGAACCAAAACCTAGTCATTGTGGTAGTCTATAAGCCTCCGGATGCAACATCCCAGCAATTCCAGGAACAGCTGTTAAAAATTGACCACTGTCTGGAAAACCTTCCAGCTCCTGCAC